TTTCTGAGTTATCTTGTTTGTGTCTGAGATTTGTTTCTAGGAGCACCAGGACCCTTATAACCAGGAGTTAAAACAGGTATAATTTAATCCTCTAGTCTGTGACTATAGATTTATATGCCTCTAAAAAACATATATCTTTTCTAGGCTGAAACTCTTTTCAATAAGTAGAGATTCTACCTGTACTCACTACCACGAGAAGCAGTTTCTCATTGTAAATTTGGTTTGTGCTCGGGCTTGTGGATGTTAAGAATTTTTGCTAAAATCCACATGCACCTAATGCGTGTATGGACTAAGCAACATAGTTTGGAAAAATGTTTACTAAACCATCACCTGAACTTCAGCTTTCCACACAGCAGGGCGTGGAGGGTCACCTAGGGTATCTCCCATGTAATTTTGTGCTCGGCCTTTCTTCTGGGATGAAGGTGTTGTTCCCAAGATTTATAGTCTCTTATAAACGACTATATTTACTTATAAAATGACTCCTTTTAGGTCGAGGTATTGTAAAGGGTTAAATTTACAGTGGCCATTCATCAAAATAGTTTTTCTGGGCATGGTTTTCCACTACTTGCTGAATGAGTCTATCACCTTTCACTTATTTAATCACTGCATTTTATAATACTATTCCGAGCAATCAAATTGTTCAGTTTGCCTGTGGATTCAAGAACATGGTAAAACAGTGATTACAGTTCTGTATTTGTATGAGATTGTTTTTCTTATTTCCACCTATAAGTTCATAAAGCTGTAAGTACCATTAGATCCCCTTATTAGAATCATAGAATCAGAGAACGCTTAAGGTTGGAAGGGACCTCGGAGGTCATCGAGTCCAACCCCCCTGATCACGCAGGGTCACCTAGAGCACGTGGCACAGGGCTGCGTCCAAGCGGGTTTTAAAGATCTCCAGAGAAGGAGACTCCACAACCTCTCTGGGCAGCCTCTTCCAGGGCTCTGTCACCCTCACAGTTAAGAAGTGTTTCCTTAAGTTCCTGGGGAACTTTTGGTGCCTCAGTTTGTGGCTGTTTTCTCTAGTCCTGTCGCTGTTCACCACTGAAAAGAGGCCGCCCCCTCCTCCTCACTGCCTCCCTTGAGGTATTTATAGACACTGATCAGGTCCCCCCTCAGCCTTCCCTTCTCCAGGCTGAACAGGCCCAGCTCCCTCAGCCTTTGCTCATAGGGCAGATGTTCCAGGCCCCTGATCATCCTGGTAGCCCTGCGCTGGACTCTCTCCAGCAGCTCCACATCCCCCTCATACTGGGGAGCCCAGAACTGGACACAGTCTCCAGATGAGGCCTCACCAGGGCTGTGTATAGGGGGATGATCACCTCTCTCGACCTGCTGGAGGCGCTCTTCTTAATGCACTCCAGGATTCCGTTGGCCTTCTCGGCCACGAGGGAACACTGCTGTCTCATGGTCATCTTATCACCCACCACGACACTCTCCAGCATGTGGATTTGTTTTGGAGTGGCAAATCTCTTTCTAGTGATTTAGAAGCAACTGCATGAACATTAATTTCCCTTTATGATAAATTGTATAAAATATAACAAAATTACAACACAGTCTATCCAGTAGATAGAGTTCTTCAAGTTCATACTATAAAAATATTCTGTTTGATTTAAATGAAGGTCTGTTCTTCTACTCTCTCCAACTCTTCCTTGTCCTTCTATTAAATGCGGACTCCAACATCCTTCTCACTAATGCTATGTTTATAAGACAGAAAAAACTCCTTTGTTATTGTTTTATTCTTCTGTATAAATGACTTCCCTGTCTATATATACAGTTTTCTTCTTTTGCCATGAGAGACTTCTGCATAGTTGTTTGCTTGGTGCAAGCTGGTGATTTGCTGTTTTCTGCATTATAGTTCTCCCTCTCATAGCGGGGAGTAAACTGTAATGTATGTTTGTCATTCCTTTAATCACATCTTTACATTTCAGTGCAATAACTAACTGTGATTTTTCTGTCCTTAGCATTACTTGACATGGTAAGCCTTTCTCTTTTGCAAATTTTAACTGTCACTGAATCATACTTATTTACAAAACATTTATCAAACAGAAGTTTGCAACTGGAATATACAATAAAATTGTTCTTTTTCATGATAAAGTGTTTGCCATAAAACTAAATTGACTGACATATATCTTCTAGGAAAGGTAACTCAGGAGTTTTGGAAATCCTTTACAGTTTAGTTGTTCTCTGGTCACTGAAAGAGTGCTCTATACCCAGGTCTCTAACATCAATGCATCTGTAGAACAGAACACTTCCATCTTGGTAGTCTATTGATAGTCTGTTGGCATCACCTGCAGTACACTTAAGGCAACACAGCTGGAGACTGGTTCATCCAAGCCAGCTCTGCTAGATCTTTCAGCTTGCTTTGACATGTGGGTTATGAGACTTTCTCTCTTTTTCATGGATCTTTCAGGAATAGTCTTTTGTAATTGTTCTTTTTCCCTCAAGGTCCATCCAGTGGCCTTCCAAGGGCTCTCATTTTCTTTGCCCTATTGTAGGGAAGAACGGACAGCTGAAATTTCAGCCTAGTGATGGCTCCATATTTACAGCTCTGTTGCATCTGACCGTGCTAGTATTACTGAACGTGCAAGTGGCTTCATGAGGGAGGAGGCATGAATGAGCCAGCTGGAGTTCAGTAGAGAAAGGCTGAGGTAAAGCCATCAAAATGGGAAAGTAATGTATTTGTTGTGCATGTCTGCCAAACCAAGTTTTGAGGAACAGCAAGAGCACCAACAACGATAATATTCTGATAGTCTATTTTTACTCAATTAGATATTATACACACTATTCCACTGGCATCATAGGAACCTGTCTACTGTCACCCTATCCCATCCATCTTGCTGTTTTTGAAATCTGGTGCAGTATTTGCTTTCTTAAAATATTCTGTAGGTCTCCAGTATTCCAAGACTTTGAAAAAAGGTGAACCACAGGCAGTCAGGAATCTTCCTAGACTACACTTTGGGACTATGTGGTAAGAATGCTCTTTGTTAAGTATTAATATATTTTGTTTAGTAGCTATGTGTCACAAAGCAATTAGTCATATTTGCTGACAAAACATACAGTGTTCCTTCTTTCCAAACACAAAACTAACACTTTACTAGCACGCCTGCTTTAGTTGCATCATTCATAATTATTTTGTTATCTCAGGGAAGCAATGAACCTATCGATGATTTTTTGATATGCATTTCCTTTATATATGCTGCATATCATCACCTTGATAAGTAATGGTTTTCAATACTCTTTAAGTTATGATTTGTTTTGAAGGTTTTGTTTTTCACATTTTCCCATGTGATGTGCATTGTTTTCTCATATCCAACTGCTGTTTTCTTATCACCTCAGAAAGAGGTTGAGCTTTCAGCTAAAATGTGAAATTAGGACAGCTTATATCACACTGCTGAGATTTCCTTGACTTCAATGGGAGCAGATAGTCAAGTTGTTAGAGAAAACAAATTTTCTTAGCTCATCCTGAGCTTCCATTTAATGTTTATTTGTAGCATGCAACTAGGGTGTTGAGTCACTAAAGGCATATGGATGCTTCTTTGTCAATTAAAAAGCTTTTTTTTTTATCAACACTATTCTGGCTCAATCATTGCCTTGTACTTGCAGATACATAAGAAGCAATTTGCTTTCCTTTCACTTTGTATCTTTGCAACATAATCTGAGTGGGTTCTAGTCATTGCATCACATAGGGTCGAAATATTAAAACCATGTGAGAGTTGTATGTAATAGTTATTTAGAAAGTCTTTCACATGCTTCGGTAACATGTGGCTCCTCTGTATTTATTATAATGGGGATTCAGCTATGCTTGCCACTACAAATTTGTCTTTCCTTAATTTGTGTTTTCTTGACCTGACCTAAGAGTCATACTTGCCTTTGAAGTTAGTAGGTTTTTGTACCCGGTATCATGTTGCAATGGTGTTTTAATTTAGCATGTAATAGGATGTACTTACATAGCTGCCTATCTTGATCTTAAGAATGTTTCTTTCCTTACGCATTTCTGAAACACTTCCTTAAGAGGTTTTGCAATGGTTTCTTTAAAGTCTTTCCATATGGAGTTGTTAACACAGTTTAATCTTTGTGATCAGCCTTTTTGTGAGTAAGTAGCTGTGCTAGATTCCTTAATAGGTTTGTATTTTGCTCGATGGGAACATCTAGAAGAATAGCTTCATTCCTTTGCCTCCCTACCCCGAGTGTTCCCACTGTGGAGCTCCTAACACACTGGAAGCCTGTTGGAGCTCCCTGAGAAGCTGCTTTGTGTTGGAAGCATCTGAATGGACTTGTGCATCTGGTCTCTCTGGGAGCACACCCGTGGGCAGCTGGTGTGAGGCGTGAATGTTACGGCTACATCTGCCATGGTGCAACCGTGCAGGTTAGTACAGTGTCCGTGATTCCTGCCTGAGTGTGACCTTATCAAATACCGCTTACATGAGCTAGTAGGTGCCCCGGAAAGGCTGACATCCCCTGCCACCAGTGGCAACACACTATATAGGGCAAGATATGCTATTGCTGCCACGCACACCCCTTCAGATTACACAACAGGTCACAAGGCATGAAGTCAGTGTGGCAATGGTGCTTGGCGTGGCTCTGCACACGTGCAGAGATACTGTTCTCAGGAGATTTGGAGGTAGCAGGGCCCTCATCACTCAAGGAAGAGGTATCAGGAACCTTGGCACACTGAGATTAGCTAGAGCCAATGCATCACCTCATCCAGTGCTTCCTCTTCCTTCTCCACGCGCAGGAAGGATGGGTAACGTTCTCAGAGTTGGACACCTCTTCCCCCTCGAGTCCTACATCCCTCAGGATCCCTTTCACCCCAGTCTGGTTTTCTCCTCAGTACTTTCCTAACAAAGATAGCCACTTGCCCCTGGCCGCAGCACTGCAAGGGGCCAGCAGGAAGAGGGGAAGGGAGCCCAGGCTTGTAGGGCAGAATCTCTCATCTGCTTCTCTCCCAGTTGCTGGGTTATTTGGCAGTGCATCCAGTCTCTTGCAGCTCCACATCGGACATGAACTCTCATCTAGCAATGGCCTGTCCTATCCTGTGCTGGAACAAGGACAAGAGGGAATGGCCTCAGGTAGTGCCAGGGGAGGTTCAGGTTAGATATTAGGAAAAAAATCTACACCAAAAATGTACATGTCTGCTTCTGTCTGACAGCAGGAGATGTCTGTTCTTAGTAATAATAATAATAAAAATGAATTTAAAAAAAGAGCAGGAATAAAGCTTTTGGGAAAGTTGGATCTCCCTCTATGGCTACAAAGGTTGTCTGGACAATCCTGAGGGAAGATGTGTTGAAGCAGGAAAAACTTATGACACATCTAGGGAATGACATGAGGGGGCACATAGGATGAGACATAAAGGAGAGTGAGTGCCTAGGCTACAGAGGAACTGGAAAGGGCACGGAGAGAAACTGGAGAGGGTTATCAGGAGAACACACCTAATCTAGCTTTGATCATTTATTTACTCTTATCTGTCACTGCAATAAATCTTTGACTAATTATCTCCAATCTTTTCCTTGTATTAAAGCAATACTATTAAAATTAGCCTAGCTCAGTCCTTGATTGCAGTCTCAGATCTTTCTGATTGCAGTCTTAGACACTATCGGACTAGACAGGAAAAAAAGTCATGTATGAAATGACAGTCAGTTCACGGCAGAGTAACTTTCACTGTTCTGCATTTTACCTTTCTAATAGATGACCAGTTGACTGACAGACCCCACAAATGCCTGAGTGTGAATATCTAAGGGTGACATGGAATAATTTTTCTCCTCCTTGAGCTCCTACTCCTCCTAAATGTATCATCTGACTCGCAGGACTCTGACACACAGGCAGGGAGTGAATAACCTTCAGATAGATGATGCACACCTCTCCTCTCTGTTCTTCTCCTGGATATTCCCTTTTTGTCCCAAAATGTCTCAGGTGCTCAAGAAGCAGCTGCTTGCAGACTGGAATACTGTGGAAAACTGAACTTGATGTTCACCCAGAAATACTTGCACCCAACCATGAGCAGTCACTGTTTGGCCTGTGAGTTATTAGCAGCAGAAGTCCTTAGGCTGTCCAAAATTGAAATATGGAAGCTTGCACTCACAAAAGCTTAAAAAAAAAAAAAAAAAACTTCTTTTTTTTAATTATCTGAATGAATCCATGAGAAGTTTTTTTCGTTTGTATGCTAATAGAGTTTTGCCCAAGGGTGCTTTGTAGCTTCACTTTGCAACAGTGGAAATCACATGTTAACACACAACCAAGTTCTTCTGTATTAGGTTTCCTCAGCATTAGCAAGTTTGGGAACAAGTGAGTGAAGAAAATTAACTGGTTATTGAGGATAAGATTAATTCACCTACCTTTAGCTATTGAAAGTTGTGTCAAGTACAAGCTGAACATTTAGATGACTTCTACAACCAAATGAAAGAGATTTTAATAGAGATGGCCATAGTTATTACTTGACATTGCCATGTCTCCTTTTCTCCTCCATTCAATGCAGAAGGGACATAAATGACCAGCTTAGACCAAGTCTAACTTTTCAGTGACTAAATTTAGACAACACCAAGCTCCTCATCAGTGAGACTGAAAAAAAGACCATGTTAGCCTCAAAAGGAATGGTCCTTCATAGTGAAAATGAATTTGAACTAATTTAGGAAAAGCAATACCAGTGCCAGGTTTGAGACAAATGTACACCTGGCTGCCTCTGATTTGAGCTTAAAGAACAGGAATTTCATATTGCAAAGGTCTGAGTCAGGAATGAAGATTTAGGTGTTAGGCAACAAGCAGCTTTTAGTCACGTTCCTGAGGGATGTTGGGAGTTTTTCCTCTCCCCTCATTTCCTTTTGTCCTAAAACCAATGACATACGCAAATGAAAACCGGCTCTTGTGCAAAAGCCTCACACCCATTAACTTCCATATATTGCAGAAACAAGACCTGGAGCTAAGAGCCTTTGTGGGGTACGATTACAATGAAATTGTATCCAAAGTTCCATTTCCTCCATTGTGACACTGTATTTCTATAGGCTTAATCAAGAACACTGCTAATAGCAGAAAAAACAGAAAATGGGCATGCTTTTGTATGTACATACATTTTTCTGTAAACTGTTTCTGGTCAATATTTTTACAGAAAAGAAAGAAAAAAAGTGCTTTTTTTCAAAAAGCTAAGCAAAGCATTGTTCAAGAAGTCTGGAAGAGTCTTGTGACCATTGCTCAGGAAAACCTTCATGTGAAGGTTCATGACTATCATGACTATGTCATGATATGTCATGACTATGGAAGGTATCATGACTATCCTTTATCTAGTGTAATTTATCTCATTTTGGTTTCAGTTAGACAGCCTCACTTCCATCAATAAGCCTTGACATGAGGCAGATGAGAAAGAGGGTTCCTAGCAAACTTTGCACAGTATGAATGCTGAAGTGCATGATGTTATTTTAATAAACAGATATAGAAAATGTAGATATAAATTTTAACACAAGAAATTAAACCTTTGCAATTATGGGATGTTTCAGGCACGATGATCAAGCTGCTGTCACTAAGGAAATTAAGAAATGTAGGTAATGAGTTGGAATGCTGGAAGTGACTGGGTTTGTGTCTAGTTTCTGTCAGCCAGGGTTCTTGTACAACACTCACCCCCACACTCAGTGTGACCATGATTTCACACTTATGCACATTTCTAATAAGAAGCATCATGCCATGTCATCCGATTAATTTCAAATCCTTTCATATGCGTGGCTGAAAATCATTTGGGAGAATTTTCAGCACACATATATGTATGTGTTATGTTAACAGCTTAGTGCAGTTAGCGTAAGGAATTAGAAAAAAATGAGCCTTGCAGAGGCCTGATGCTCCTGAATGCTGAACACATGCAGATCTTCACTCCACAGAAGGTTCATAACATGAGCAGGCTCGGCCCGTTAAATTCTGATAATCTGCCAAAAACGCCCTGCCAGCTGGTGATTTAAGAAGTTGCTTAGGTATCTGGGTTTTTAAAATTTTTTTTTCATAATAAAATGATAGTGCTGAATTATTGCAAAACAAAATGAAAAAGCATGAAAAAGCTGGATTTCCTAAAATTTAGAATTGTCTTAGGTTTTTTGAAATGTTTCACCATTTTTTTAAGGTGAAAAATTTGAATCTGATTTAAATAAGTTAAAATGTATATTCTATTAAAATTAAAAACAAGAAATAAATACAAGATTTCAAATAGAAAAGTGGTACATTACATTTTAGGGAAAAATGTTACTTATTCATTTTTTTTTCTTTTATTTATTTTGCGGTAGAATATTATAAAAATAACACATGAACACAAACCATTATTAGATGGCATTTTTCAATAGAAACATATTTCTTCAGGAAAAGGCCTTCTATCTCTATACCTGAATGTCCTCCTTCCTATTGATCCTCCTTTTTTTTTTTCTCTCTTTTCCTCTTTCCTTAAGCCTTTTCAGCATTTATGTTCTCAAGAAGGATGGTGCTTTCCTCCATTTTCTCTAAGCATATATTGCAACATTATTTAGATCTCCAAGACTGCACTTCAGCTCCAAACAAAAGGTTTGTTGTCATTTAAAAAGTGCCTTGGTAGTTTCTAAGGCAAAGAGATATTCCTTGCTGCTCCTGATGGACATCTCCCTTGTGGAGAGAACAGTATGTACCATTTCCTAGGGTCTTTGCACAGGAACACTTGGTAGATAGATCAATCAAAACCTTATTCTGTCTTTTAGATTATCACGGCCAGACTGTGTAGATCATATCTACCAGAACATCAACCAGATTATCCCCTTTGTTACATTGACGAAGGCCCCTGGCTGGAAACGGTTTGCTGTGACTGCTCTGCTCAGCCTCAGGAACTGCAGATGAATGCTCCCAACTGGCAACAGACTCCTACTTAGTAAAAGCAAAGTGGGTGGCAAATTTTCCTCTTTCAGAAATTCCAGAGGGGTGGAGCTCTGACTCAGTGTAATAAAACACCCGTTCAGCAGCTTCTGCCGCTCGGGAGTCCTGTAAATATGTTTCAGGAGGAACTGGGAGCTGTTGAGCTGCATCCACAGGTGTCTGCTGCAACACCTGCTTTTAATGCAGCAGCAATCCCAATGGCATCATCTGCTGCCTTCTGCCAGGTAAGAGGGGAACAGAATGAGCCTGGCAAGATTCTCTGAGAATTTGATTCAGATTTGTCCCTGGAGGATTGCTTAAGCCCATCCTTATCTGTAAGGCATAACTCTGCAAGAAGAAAGGATTGTCCTTCCTTGGCTATCTGCAGATACCTGGGGTCCATAACTTTTTATATTGTGTAGAAACAACTGCCACTGTTCTGGCACGTTCATTTTACTTATTGCTTTGCTGATATGAGTAATGAGGGAAAACAAATTACTTGGGTACTCAGTGTACCAGAGGTATCACAGTGGAAGTTCATGAGCAGTAACCCTACAAATTAGAGACATAAAATAAAACTGAAAAAAAGGTCTCTGTTTTTCATCCTTTGTTTTTCCCACCTGAACAGGATTCAAGCAGCAAAACAAGTTCCTTGGAAAATGAAGAAAGAAAATGGATAATTCAGCATGGAACACAGCACGATATTCATGCTAAGGTACTACCTTCAGCAAACTGAAAATGGGAGGGACTAAAACTGTTATGAAATTTTTGGAGAAGTGCAAAAACTTCTTCCCAGATTTGGTTAATACCAAAGATTCACATTTAGGAAGAAAACTTTATGGATGAAAATTCTCTTTAGCTGAAACACCTTAATTCCATTATCCTTTTATCCATTCCTTTGTTTCTTTGTATAAAGTGTATTATATCTTCTTGGTTTATTATTTAGAGTAAATCCTTGGGGGGAAATGTATTTGAATTACTATTAAAATGGGATTTGGGTCTTCTTTTAATACTGTCCACCTTTACTAACTTTAATGGAGTTTTAGTTGAGCATGTATGGAGAATGTTGCCAGCACCAGCTAGTCAGAGGATAGCAGTTGGTGACCTTCTGGATTTCAGCCATAAATATCAGAGTCCAGAATAAACGCCCATTTTGCTCACTGTGCAAGTCATCATAACAGAGAGACAACAACTCTATTAGACTTAACAAGGCCTGACACAGAGCTGTATTTGTGTCTAACCTGGACCACTTTTATTGGTGATGATTTTTCTCTCCGTTCTTGACCAGTTTACAAATAGTTGTACTTTGAGAGGCTGATCTCAAAGTAAAACTGGATCATTCCAAAGAAAAAGTTAACTTAGATTTAATAATGTCTTAAATGGAAGGCAATTCGAGCATCTCTAGCTGATAGGAGACCTCAAAATTTAATTTTGTGTTTGTAATAAATGTTCAAAATCTATAGAAAATTACAAACAATAATTTGTTTCCTTATTTATATCACTAACTTGTCAAAATTATTCTAACAAGGATAGTAGTTTGAGAGCTTCTACAGGTGGAAATTAGGGCAGAAATTTGGTGACAAATTATTAGTGGATTGTGAAATTTGATGTAAATGGCAAAGTAGCAGAACCAGTGCTGACAGGGCATTTAGGTATTCAAAATTTGTTCTGTGTATGCACACTAAAGGTAAGAAAGAGCTCAGGCAGGAAGAGCAACTACTGGGGAGTGTAAGGGCCCAATCTCTATATCGTTTCTTCGATCATTTACGGTATCCACACAGAGCTTGTTTTTTGCTTTACAACATCTAGGGCTAAAAACACTCAGTACCTCTTTATCACTAACATATTTATATGTATATAAAGATAGATAGAATACAACATATGCTTTTGAATATATAAAATGTAATATGTAAAGAATATGAGATCAAAAGTGCCATGATATGGAGATAGAGTATTCTATCTACAGCTTTAATTCTTCATTCTTGTCCTAACTTAATTTTCCTCAGGAAATACTTATTTTCCTTCTTCCAGGAGTTATGCCTGGTTATCCCCAACAGTGTTTAACAGCCAAGGCCTTCTTTGCCTCCTGTCTTTTGAGCTTTCTCTCTTCTGTGATAAGACCTGGTAGAAAACTGACATCAAAGGCATGGGCTTGTGTGAACTGGCCAATTCCTGCCTCTTGCCAGCATCAGATTTCCTGGGCAGCTTTGAGCAATCCTTGATTTTTTGCTTGCCACAACCTGACATCCACAACAAGAGGATAATCATTAGTAGAGAGGTGTTGTAAAGGATAAGATGCTTGTAGCAGCCCTTGAGTCCAAAGCCCGGATTGAGTAAGCAGGTGCAAAGCTCTCCTTAATGCCATTGCTTAAATATTTGCCCAAGTATTTGCCTCAGTTTGATTTCTAAGAGGACTTTGCATAACTGTGTGATAAACTAAATAGTTGGTTGGGCTGGTTTTAGAAAAACATGCCCAGAGGTTGTTGCATGGTATTGACCGTGACTCTAAAATAGTAATAGCCATCTTGCCTATCTACAATTCAAAACTAAATATCCTTTATTGCTTTATATTCAGACAATGCACTGATGTTATGAGATCTCCTTCATATTTCAAAATTGCTGAGAATTTCAACTGAGCACCTCTGTAGATCTCTCTAGGTGTCCTGAGCTTACAGCTTGAATTTTAGCATGTCAGACATGAGTAAAGGGAGGATGAAACATAGTGAATAAATCTCATAAATGTTTATGAGTAAGCCAGCCCATAATTATACCAAATCTAGTAACTTTATCACTAGATTTTTTTTTGTGAATTGCATTTCTCAGACTCCTGCAGTTTAATTTGTCATTTACGTAGCTGCAAAAACCTGTGACATTTTTCTTGATAAAATATCAACTTTAAAAAACTACTGGCTCACCAGCTGCAGAACATTCACATTTGCAATGGCGTATAGTAATGCAAAGAACAAAAAACTGGCAAGTGTGAACTCAAGGTAAGTAGTATGAACAGTGAGTGGGGCACCACATGAGGTACCGTGGGTCCTCATGACTTAAAAACAATGCATTCTTTTAAAGTACCAAGAACTGTTCCTGACTCAATATGGAATGAAAAATCTTCTGATGGGGAAAAAAAAAACAAACAAAAATTATTTTAATCATTATCTCTTGTGACTAGTTAGATTACTGGCTTTCTGAATTGATTATTTTTCTTGAAAATGATTATCATCAGCAGCAACACATTGTTGCTTTCTGATTTGTTAGACTTTGGCTTTGTTTAAGGCGTTACAGTAATGCAATCCTTCCAGTGATGACCTTAGAGGAAAGGGGGAATTAGGTGATTTCCATTGATGAAGTCATTGACTTGAGCTTCAGTTACAAGATGTCATTTTGCTCACAGAATTTTCTGGAGTGGCTTTTATGGCCAGCGAGGAAGCACTATATGGAGTAGTTTTTCATTCACTGCCTTCTCTAAAGGGAGACAGTTCTCATGTTCATTTGTCTCAGAGAGTTGCCTCAACACAGAGCCAGCTGTCCTCTCCAAGGGCATTGTTGTCTCCAGTGATGATGAGGGGAAATGGAGTATTGCTTCTCCTTTGATGTCCTAAAGAGGAGTCAAAAATGTATCCTATCTCTTTTTTGTTTGTGTGTTCGCTTGATTCAGAAGGCCTTTGGAGGATTCTGAAGGGCAATATGGTCATCTAAGGGTTGTACTGAGAGAAAGCAAAACAAGTTTGGAACACTGACCAGTTCTGAGGGCTATGAAAAGACTTCCATAATGAATAGAAATGCTCAGATTTGAGGGAAAAACTAATATTTTCATTATTCCTTTAAATTTAGAGTTCTCACTACTTTGGTGAGCAGGCTAAACCTAAAAGGAATTTTGCTGCAAAACCACACTCACAGAATGAGCAGAGTGAGGCTAAGGGAAACAGTCTCTGTTTCTCAACTTCACTTGCTTGACTGCTTATTCTTTACTGTGAAACACTCCTACTGAATGCACCTTCCAGGTTTGTGTTGCTCTCTTTTATCTCTCTTGCTAATTCCTTGAATGTTCTTCATTTTTTTTTCAGTGCCTTCCATGTAGATGCATCCTCACAGAATCTTCTGTCTTTCTACTTCTTAAAAAGTCATGCTAGTTTATATATGAGTCTCTGACAGTCTGAAACTTGTAGCTTCCAAAATGTTCATTGACAGAATGATGCCACAAGCTTTCACTAAATAAGGCTAAGAGATCATCAAAATTAAATGCAATTCCCTTTGCTCTGTCGTTTATATTTCCTAAAATATTTCTGCTGATGTCTTTTTTTTCCTGCTTCTGAAAAAAAGAAACAAACAAAAAAACAAGCCCAATGGATATGTAGTTTTCTTGAAAAACAAAGCAAAGCAGATTCAGTTAAGCCAGCACAGAGGGATTCCTTTCTGATGAAAAAGGAGTGGGCTACCACAATGGCTAAGAAATAATGTGGAGGTGACTCAGCTCTGATCCTTATAATGTGGAGATCTTGCTTTCCTAGTTTTAAACAAACAGTTTTAAATAAAATATAAATAAATGAAATGTTCTTCACCTTACCTCAGGCTTTATGCATCAGCTGTTAGTTTCCTTATTTGTCTGGTGTATAACTATAAGCACAGCAAAATGCAAATATATCTTCTATTTCTTGTAGCACGATCAAGAGAATGTGCTTATTCAGCACTGAATAGACATGTTGTTGTTTTGGGTGTGTTTATGTACCTTATAGAAAAAAGCACTAGAATTTTAATTAGCCAATTCATCAAAAGTATTTTGAAACTATGATTCCTGATTACAAGATAGAGCTCATGCACAAAGTTTTATGGTTATTTAAAATATCGGTTAATTTATAATGTATCCTATACACTATTAAGTTACTTGGCATTTTCTCAAGAAGTCCATCTTTTTCATCAGAGAATTTCAGAGCTTAACAACTACAATTTTTTTTGCAAATTCTTTTTGTTACTTTCATGTCCTTTATCTTCATAGAGAGAAAATTTGGTGGGTTAAGCTAAACTTTGTCATGATGAATTTCCTATGGTCCAATGCTTTACACACTTCAGTTGATGTTCTTTCTTGTCCCACTGATTTCCTGTACTTGGACCATTTTAGCAGTCTTTGAAAAAAAAGTGCTAAAAAAGCGAATCACAATAGCAGCACTGGTGAATATTTCACTTGTTCTCACTTCACCTCAGAGTTTTCTCCTGTTCTTTTAAATTAAAGTGTCTCAGAAAATAGATAATACCATCTTTTACCAGCATTCCTCCACCTTCACTTCAGATTTTTTTTTTCCTCAAATTTTGGGGCCATTAGCATTTGGGGCCAAAGCAATGGTGGTTTTCCTTCTTGCTCTTTCCAGTAGCCCTCTAGGACTGATTTATCCTCTTCTCTCAGTCTGTTCTGTAGAAGTGTAGGGCAAATCTAGTTCCTCTCTGTGAAAGTTTTTGACTTATTGACTAAAGTATTTTGATTATTCTTTCCCAGTCACAGACTCCCAACAGTCATGTGTGCTCCAACTACAGAAAGCTTTACCCATTTTCTGCATCTTTCTGATGATGTTATAATTTCTGGTGCTGAGTGATGGATATATTTCTAAAGATGTAAACCCATACAGCATATATGACTTAGCATAACTTTCACAGACCCAATTGGTTAGGCCTGACATCTTCCATAGGAATTTAAAGATTTCCTTCTTTGAGATGGGTTGTAGTCAAAACTGTGTATTCTGTTATACTGTCCTAAGCCTTAAGAACTCATCTCTAAACATCTCATACTACAATCATGATTCTACCTTTTAAAAGATTTCAAAAGGTTCCCCTCATGTGGCTTTTCTTCCACTCATCCAAGAATTTAACTCAAAGCAGAAGCTTTTGTGTAGGCTTTCAGTACAACACAGGCCGTTGATCAATAACAAATCCAAATCAGGGTGTTTCTGATCTGTTAATTCACTGAAGTGTTGTCATATTGGAAATGAGTAATCACATGTATCCTAGGTGATCTGATGTAGCTGGATAACTGACCTTTCTCAGCAGTATTTATCCTCTGTCTCCACTTTCCTATTTACCCTTTCCTTCTCCCATTTCTGCTGTATGCTTAGGTGGTTGCAGACTTCAGCTGTTGATTAAGTTTGCAGACAAAGCGCATTTTGTTGCTGATCATGTTTCTGCTCTGATGTGCTTTGGAAGAGATACCTTCAGTAGAACCCAAGTTTCTTTCTGTGTTTGTATAGCATTAAAATAAATACAGATGTCCCAAACTTTAAAGCTTATGCACATCTCCTCTGTTATTTTTCTGCAGAAAGAAACATCACCGTACTGCCTGCTCACTGTAAGAATCATACAGATGAGAAATGCTCCTCGGGCAGATTTTTGTAAGTACCAGATTTTTCTTAGTGGGTATACAATTCTAAGATTTCCAGATCAGGCCCTGCTTGTGCTTGTCACTGTACAGATATAAAACACCAAAATCTTACTTGCCAAGGATTCACAATCCAAGACAAGTTCTACCATAGAACTACCACACCTGTTTCAGTTCCTTCATGCTACTTTTGCTTGAGAACCCATCAGTTTTTCCCCTCATAAGACTGACTCAGACCAGCTTCCTTTCTCAGCATCAGGCAGACAGGATCCACAAAAATCCCTGTTCCAAAGATGGATCTTTCCATGAGGAAGCAGGTCATTGGGCAGACTTTGAGGAAAGATGGGAATATGGCAGGATGCCTTATTTTCTCCAATAAAGCTGCTTAAATTCCTTGGATAATTAATAGAGGCAACATTTTTAGCCTAAATTCTACCACTACTTTTTAGTCAAAACACTAGCCCTAGCTTTTATGTGCATCTTTTAAAGGAACAATATTCTACACAGAAAAATTCTCACAGGGATTTCATTATTGTGAATTTTCTAATCAAATAAAGTGTTTCATTCACCTGGTCTATAATACTGACTTGCAGAGAATATAAAAAGTATAAAAAAAGAAGGTCAAAATAACGTCTGTAGTACTTCACAACAACAAAAAACTATATACATTTGAAAGCACTTATCTTTGTTCCTTTGAACTGCTAATTTATTTTTCTTTTGCTATAATCTTTGATGTAGAACAAGGGTTGAAAGAAAAGATAAGAACCATTATTCACTAAGGGATTACGCAAAGTAGAATGCTGTTGTGTTCTGACAAAATAGGTCTACTGTTGTAACCCTGATTTCCACCTTGAGGACATAGGGAATCAAAGAAAATTTTGCATAATAACCTGCAGAGGATATAGAACTGTTAGAAACCTTCCTGTTGTTTCTCATTATCATCAAAATGTACATCATTGGACTAGAATTCAAAGTATGTGTGTTCAAGTTTCTAGCTCTGCCAACAGCCTTCTTGTGCGAGTTTAAGGAAGTCATCTGAATACTTGGTTCCTCTGCTCCAGCATCTATAGAGAACACAGCTAACAAAATATGTTTTCCCACATAACACTGATAGAAAAGATGGGGGAAAAAAAGTATGTACGTCTTTTTTAAAGGAAAAATTTCTTATTATGATAAAGCAATATTGAATAGCTCTTGGTTGACTGAGCAACATCCATCTTGTGCTCTGAAGGAGGCTGGAGTCTTGTAGAAAAAATAGGTGATCAAGTAATTGGAATACCTTAGTGCAATGCACACACAGATCTTGTAGTTTTTGAGTGCTTGCTTTTGCATAGACACCAGTGTTCTCTTTATTTAATGTTTTCTATTTTGTTAGAATCACAAATATTTCAAGTATCAGAAAACTACAACAGCTAAACATACTACCTTTAGCTGAGAAGAACTTCAAGATTGTCATCTACCACCCTCAATTACAAGTCTCAGCAATATGATCTCTTCCTCTAGAAAACTGAGTATTAACATCTGATGCATACGCCATCAGACTGTGAGGTATCAGTGGGAGACAGATAATTTTGCAATTATTTATTTTGGCTTTCCCTAGGTTTCCTTCTTCCAAGGAGCAAATCCAGGAACAAATTACCTTTCCAAACAAGTGTAGCAGCTTCTAAAACTTCTTTTCTCCATTACTGTGTAGGCTTCTCATGTTTCTAAACATGTGATTTTATAAACTTGTTCACGTTTCTATCCACCACTGCTTGACAAAATGAGTTTCATATTTCCTTGATTACTCTTGATTCAATGTAGATACCTTAGCAGTTAGTACTTTGTTTGTTTGTTTTTTTAATATATATTTTTCCTTAACTTATTTGACAAATCCTGACTTCAGGGTACACTGCTTTCTATGTACTTCCATTGACATTCCTCACTATAGTGAGGAAGACAGAGCTTGATCCTGGCTCTTTTTGTATACGTGTATCTCAAGAGTTGTGGGACTAGTGTTTTGCAAGCCTGGGATAGTCCCATCTTATCCTGAAATCTCATACCACACCTCTGCCTGTAGACAACACGCTGGCGGAGCCCAGCAGTGATTGCATCTGTTTACAAACAAGGGTGAAATGAATTTCCCCCCCACAAATTCACCCCACTCCTGCTCAATAAACCAATTAGCTCATTTTATATTCCTACTGCCACACTACTGCTTTTGTGGGCTCCTTGTTACTTATGTAACCCAAGTAACGTTCAGCTCTTATGTTTGCTTAGTGCTTCATACAACTGGTTTCTAGCTCATCATTACTATGCAAATGGTATTCACAAGCCCACAAGATCTAATTAATTTTCACTCTATGTCTAGCTGACCTTTATGCCAATTTGTAATAGGAGGTGACAAACAAACACAAATTTATGGTACTCCCTGATTTTATGGGGACACTATAGAGGCATTAAGATAAGATCTCTTTTACTCATACCACTGTCTTGCCATTGATGACTGTCATCACCGTGCTTTAATATATGTGCCCAGTTACACTGGGGAAGAGGTGGGAATGATGGTATGCAAGCAATTTGGGTGAAGTTTGGGTGAACTTGGGTGAACTAGGACTGCATAGCCTGGTGCCTACTTTGCATTGGTAACTATGTAAGAGTAAATACCTCCTCCAGTGCATTTCTTTCCTTAAAAAAGGAGGAGAAGAGCATGGTGGTACACCTTCTGTCACACTTTTCCTTAAAGATATGAGTGATTTCTGGCTACACAGAGTGGCATCCAGCCTAGTCCACCTTCACTGCCATTAGCATTTATTCCCTATTCCATGGCAGTGCCTAAAGTGCAGTCACAGATGAACCTCTCACTGCACTTATCCCCATGGGCAAATACATGAATAATGACAGCATCTGCCTTATCTAGCAGGTCTAAAGTTGAAGCACTAAGAGAGGGGAAAGATCTCTCTCAGATCCTAAGTAGTACAGATGAGTGTCCTGAATGTAACCTCTCTCCTGGCCTACAAGAGCCTGGAGGTTATCAGAGCTCACGGGTCATTGACCCAGGGAACCATGTGGCAGACATTTGTCTCCAGCATGAACCTGAGATTTAATACAAGGTGAAAAGGCAAAACCGTCTTATAACTCTACTGGATATCACATAATGCCCAAAATCTAAATAGAGAGGCCTCTGTAACATATGGGTTCTCTGAAACCATGATGGCTAACATGGATATCAGCTGGTAAGACATAGAAAGGGCTGACCTTTGCTGCTGCAGAGCACTTTACGGCTCAGTAACTCAACACAGGTAAAGAGGGGGTGTGTCTGATCTGGCTTTATATGCTCAACCTAACTAGTACTGAGTGTTTGCAACAGCCGGAATTGCAGAGTTGAATTTGAACTATTTGTCCTAGTAAGGAATTGTTTGGAATGAGTTTCAGATGCTTTCCTCTCAGAGACAGCAGCTTCTCTACAATTTTATTTATTTATTATTTTATTCTGTTTGATACTGGTCTTTTTAACTGAACAAATACGATAGAGCGCTGAGCAATCATTGACTTCCTGGAAGAGCTCGGTAGGAGTTTTCGTCTTTCACTTCCCAACGATTTCTGTTGCCACCATGCAGCTGTGAGTGCAAGTGGTGCCAGTAGGGCAGGAGGTAAAGCCTCTCTGGGGTGCAAAAGCTTCTCTCTGTGACTGAACACCTGCCAAGTCTGTGCCCCAGAGAACCAAACCAGTCATACCAACTAGCTTAAACGGCTGGATGGGGTGGATAGCTAATTCCTGCAGGGACGCCATCCATTCCTGGTGAAGGACATTGCTGATAATGCATAGTAGATCCATGAGTATTTTGTTATTTCTACAAGCAAGCTGCAGAGGATGGTATTGCTCTTACTCATGAGTGTTGCATCTGGTTACTACTAAAGGACAGTGCTCAGTTCAAAAAGGCTTAAATTGGAGACAATTTTGTAATACTGTTTGCCTTCAGTTTCTTGTCTGTTTCTTATTATTGCCTTCTGTTCCTTGTTGGTGAGGAAAAAAATGTCCCCAAAGACTGTTTTATGATTGAGTAATGGGAGTGACTATCCTCCTACTCTTAGGTAAGCTGTAGTAAACTAGGACTCAAGGGGAACCTGTCTATCTAGGCAGAGAGGAATTCACCAGAAGAAACATTCTTTTTTTTCCTCTTTTTGTTATTATGAATTGCAGTAACAGGACAGATTTCCTTAATGGTTATTTACATTCATTGTTCTTAAAAGACTTGTTTTTTCTTATGTATTTTGTTTTTCAGTACTGTAAATTTATTTTGTAGGTGAGGGAGGTGCGTGATTTCACTATGCAGTGATTTATTTTAAGAAAATATCACAGGACTATCACAGTGCAGCAAGAAGCTGCATGCAATTCTGAACTTTCAGATTCAGTTCTGAATGTTTAGCTCAGCTCTAGTTTGAAGACAGAAATGAACAACATTCTCATCAACACCCAAAGGCAATTGAATTAGAAGAAGCTGAGAAATGGGAGAGGCTGCCCGTGCCACTTCCTACTGTACTGAGTACCCAAAGGACCGGGAGTTAGGACATCTCGGCATCCCTCCAGGGCGATGTCCTGCTGTTCATTAGGGAATGAAATTGCAATATTGTGTAAGGCCTAGCATGGCATGAAGTTGCAAATGATGCCCAGCCACACGAGTTGCATTACTATCTGAACATGTAGGAAACACAAATATAACTCCTTTAATTAGCTCCTAGGTATCCAAGCTCCAAATAATAAACTGGAAGACTGTCATTAGCTCTACTGTGCATCTTTCTGCAAGGATAAGGGGAAGGACAAAAATGAGGTCTTCTCATTTCAAATGCTCCCATGTAATAAGGGCATCATCATCTTCAACAGACATCTCACTATCCTGGTATTTTTGATCTATCTGTCTGTTTGCCTCATAGCATAGGCTAGCTTCATGTGCACTGCCACTTATACAGAATTGTATAAGCTCAGTTAGAGCCACTACATGGGGAAGAGCAGGTACTGCATATAATATAAAGACAGGAAATAGATTGAATTTTGGGGGGATACAATAAATTGTTCTTTCTATCTGTTGGCTTTTGTACAGGTTCCCTATGTGCTCTTGAGAAACTCTTTAGATCAGAACTAGTGATACCACGTCAGGATGAGCACGTTGTAGGGTAGCAGGCCTTCAGACAGCTCACTAAGAGAAGCTCTTTCAGCATATCGAACAGATTGGTAGTGATAAATATCCTGTGCCATGTAAACAGAATCTTATGCTGATGATTACTAACGTCAATATAGTGTTTTGTCACTATGATTACATAAAAATCTGCCACTCGGAAATATCCGTTTCAAAGGCAGAAACACAACACACACCCTTTGTGAGGAAAGCACCTGACAGCATTAGGAAATTCTTTGAGGTTCATGATAAAGCCTTGCCTCTAAGCTTTACCTTAGAGCCTCCTGCATAAAAGCTATCATCCTCTGAGAACATCCCTGCTCTCCTGACCTGGCCCTTGGATTTCAAGCAACACATTATAGCTAGGTAAAATATCCCAAAGGGAGCTCAACTTCACGAAGGATGCTAGGGTAAGTTGTTTTTTTAACCTAAAACTTGATACATTTTGCCTGTAATTCTGACTTCATCACATCCTGCCCAGTAGCTGAGACAGTTGAGGGCTTCATGGTCTTTTGAGAGCACCTGAAATCATTAGACCATGCTTTCTGTTCTCCCACACACCATTTCTCTGCCAACTTCAGTGGGTTATCAGTGATTTACATCAATTTATCAGTAGCAGATCAATCTACTGCCTCAAGGAAGTTATTCAAGAACTTTGATTGTGCTTATAGAAATTAATTGTTCAACTCTTTCCACACGAAAGAGTTTATTACACAAAATCACAAATTTAATTATTTTTCCATTAATGGAAGCTTAATAGCCAGCAGGGTCAGGCACTTATAATCTGAATCAAACTCAAATCTTTATTTTTTTAAAGTTTTTCAGTTCTTCTAGTTGAAGATACAAGAATGAGGATTTAGGAAGTCAATTTGCTAAGTCATGAGCAAGATTAGAGTATGCTTTTCTCTAAATATAGATACCTTGTGTTGGTATTACACTCCTACAAAATCCTGACTTTAACAGTTACAAAGTAAAGTAGTTAAAGCTAGGAAATGCCAGGATTTAGTTTGACTCTGTCTGGTACACAAGTCAATATAAGAATTCCAGGATCCTCAGCTGTTTCCTCTATGGGAAGCTGGTTCCCCCTATGGGTGCCTTCTTTTCCTTCCATTTGTCTCCTGCTTCACCTGAAACTCATCTTTCTTTTCTTACTCCCACTGCCAGGCTAGATCATCCAGCACTGGTGCTCTTCAGGGTCCAACTTGATGACCCAATGATCCATTCTTTCCTTAAAAATTATTTACACTCTATTATTCTCAGAATATAAGGTTCACTCTCTACTATGTCAAAGACAGATTTTTTCCTCAAAACCCAGTGCTTTCAGAGAGATAAAAAAATGTTGATATGAAGCAATATGGAACTTTTTGCTATCCGTATTACTCTGTCCATGGGCTAGCATTGCTCTTTTCGTTTGTTTGTTTTTCCTTTTTTTTCTTTTTTTTTAATAATATGTAAGATTGTGCAGTTATTCAAATACTCTTATTATAATATTGCTGTGATGAACAATAACTTTATCTTGCCTAGCTGTAAGATTCTCATCACCTTGTTCTAGTCTATGTATGTTAGAAAGAATTGGCCATGTCTTAGTCAAGTTCAAACTATAGAGCATTTCAGTGCCTTAGTCTCTTGTGTCCTAGTTTTGCTGCCAGATATTTTGTTCCTGTGTTTCTGTAGTGAGTCAGTCTGATTGCTACGTGAGCCTCTGGTTGCCAACTGCTTCAGATGAAAAATTCCGGACCAAAACAATCAAAAACTGCAGAAATCCAGTGTGGAATGAAACTTTCTATTTTCGGGTTCAGAGAGAAGTCAAGGTAAGCAAGAACTTGGTTTTCCATCCTGTTTGTATGTAGTTTCATTTAGTTTAGACTAAAGCAGGATGTCAGGTCTTCTAAAGCCTTGCTGAATTTCCTGAAAATTCCAAAAAGAGTGAAACAATTTAGGCTTTTTCTGTGATTTACTTCTCTCCTAGAAGATACTTATTTGTATATCAGTAATGTCTGACCTCCTTGCAGAAGGCTGATGAGCAAATAAGTGACAGTACAGAGGAACAATGAAATAAAACAGCAGCACCATGACAGCAAATACGTTTTCCAATGAGAGTTCATAAAATAACTGCATCTACTAAAATCTAGTGTGATTAAGATCTTTACTCAGCTGGATAATGGCACTACCTCCAAATGCTTATTAAACATATATGCAAAAAGTTTAAGGCCGAAGACAAATGCAGAACGTTGCTCTTGAAGGTTTTAATATGAGACTATTTAAGATTACAGTATTTGGAAGAATTACTGATAAGCAGAAATAGTGACCTTAAAGAAATCTCAGCTCAGCCTCAAATGACAAAACTAGAATCTGTTTCTTACAAGTGAAATTATACTCATTTTCTTTCTCTTCTTTGAGAGTTTCTCATCAGCATTTTTACATTTCTGCTCTTTGAGGTGTATGTTACACTTGGAATAAATACAGAGCATCATGTTTCTTTGGTAGTTTTTAATGAATTGTCTGTTTTCCATCTCTTTCCAGAACATCCTGGAAATGACTGTTTCTGATGACGATATTATTCGTGACGACGAGCATGCAATTGTTCTTTTTGATCTAGACAAAATATCCCTTGGGGAAAAAGTGCTTACAGCATTTCCACTAAATCCACAGGTAACGGCTCCATGCGAAGTTTAAGCAGAGGCAAAAGCAAATGAATGTCCAAATTTACTAGACAGATCTGCTGTCTTTTGTGTTTTACTACCAGGACTAGCTTCATAGCATTTAAAAAAAATGAAGTAAAAAATCTTCAAATCTTGCAAGTTTAACACTGGTGGGAAAAACTGACAGTCTCAATCTCTTGTCTGTTTCCTCTGGTGTAGGATCTGGCCAAATCACTGACCTCAGTTATAGCTGCAGGTTTAGGGTAGCTCTGGATTTTCACTAATCTGGCAGAAAACAACAGAGATCACTTAATGCTCCTAAATTTACAAGAAAAACAGCACAAGAATAGGAAAATTGGGCCTATTTCCACAATATATCTCTAAACACTAACTCTTATCATATAGTGCTCAGCACATAGAAGCTGGAAGAAAGTGTAACAAATAATAGTTTCCTAGGAAGACTTGTAAACACCTTTTGTTCTGCTAGTTCAGTTGATACTGAACTCTTCCTTTGGGAAGAAAAGGCTGCTTCTGTTCTCTTCTGCTGACAGTAGAAAGCAAGAAACTGCTTGCAAAAATGAAGGCCACCATTCAAACCTCCACACATGCAAACTTAGACTGTCTTCCCCTTTCTTTCCCCTCCTTATTTTCTTTGAATTTTAGGGGAGGGAAGAGCTGGAAGTTGAGATTGCATTGGATAACATGTGAGTAAAATGAAATATTACAGAAACAGCAACTCATAGCGATACATCACTGTAATTAAATATTATGTGCACCTATTATTTTGATAGCCAGATTCTCTCTTTTTGCCTAAATTAATGTGTGCATTAGCAAATCTTTATAAAAAGGGAAAATGACATGGACAACAACCCCATTCCATAACTTTTCTTAAAATTGATAGTTGATATGCTTCTTAACAAGATTCTCTAGGCAGTTTATAGACTGTGGGAATGTTTTAGGTAATCTGGGACATGCTTCTGATATTAAGACTATTACAATAATCTACGTGGCATTTTATTGCAGTTGAATTATTTTTGCTCTGTCGTTACATGGCATCTAGTTAAAAGGCACTATACCTCTATAAATAATGGAAAAGAGCAATAATCACAGAATCACAGAACCATTACAGTTGAAAAAGACCTTCAGGATCATTGAGCAGAACCATAAACCCTTTGATACCATGCCTGTTAAATCCATTTTTAAAAGAGAGAACAATATTTTTCAAAACAATATTCAAATTATATTTGTAATGAAATGCATACTATTTGTTCTTGTTTTCTAGCCAGGGTCCTCCTGAAGCCATCATCACAAATGGAGCAGTAGTGGTAAAAGACTATTTGTTTTACTTCTTTGTGTTCTTTCCTACACCTTGGCTGACGATGATGGTAATGAGGGAGCCATTATACGCCTTCATTCTTTAGTAGTACTTTTTATCTCGGCATTATTTCCCTCTGAAGAAGCTAGAAGCTAAAGGAGCTTTCAGACTGCTATCATTTATTTCTGCCATCTGTATCCATAAGAAATGATAGCATGGCTAGCATATCACCATCTTTTCATGTGAGGAGGATGTAATTCTTCCTCTCACCAAATCTGTCAGGAGCCACCCTGATGTTTAGTCCCCACATCCAAGCATTCTGCTTGCAACGACCCTTCCAACATCTGCCAGCACTGCTGATGATATGGTCAGAAGTGTGATTTTCCGTCTCGGTCATGTCTGTTACAGTGTCGTGAACTAGCCTGCCTGGAAGTTCAACTGGACAGAAGGAAGAAAAAGAAGCATTGCATTGGTAAGCTTATTAATTCTTTAAATATTAGTGATTTTACCTTCTCTATCAGTGCCTAGAAATGGCTTCATCCAAATATTTAGGATTTGATTAACTGTATCTAAGGCAACTTATAAAAACTTCACAGTAGGAAATGGCATCTGTTCAGCAGCAGGTTTAAGATCAGGTTTCTGACTTTAGGGAACCTTGTGCCAATGTAGAAATGGCAGGTGCCTGTACAGAAGCTATCTAAATCCAAAGTTGAGATCCTGAAAAACAATGCTATAGTACTGCTAAATTCTGAAGCAACTTTCTTCCTTCGCCTCTGTAGTTCATGGCCTTAACTTTCCTCAGGATCTCTGACAGCTTGACTTCTGCATGTGCACAGAAACACCTCATTTTTTGCAGGTGTAGCCACTCAGCAGCTGGCTCATGACCCTGATCAAGATCCAGAATCTAGAAGTTCCTCTGCCTACATTCCCTGAGGGGCTGGCTCTGGTAGGCCATCTTGGAGCATGCATAACACACCCTGGCAGGATTAGCGGATTTCTGCATAGAGAAAGGGTCAATGTCTGTTGCAAAGTCGGATCTTATTGTAGAGGACTGAGAACTTCTGTTGCTCACTATTTGGCTGGGATGAGAAATCATTTACAATGCAAGACACCTGGATACATTGACTGTATCCTAATATAACTGGCACAGAAAGGCATAAGTCCAAAACTCAATGCCATTCACATCACACTCACATATGGCTTTTTTGTTCAGTCCACTGTAAAAATAAGACTTGCCTGTCTTGGGTCACTACTGAATATCAGCTTTCAAAGTATATAGGAAGAGGGAAAGGGGACTGTGCAAATCTACCTTTTTTTCCTCTTTTCTCTCTTTCTTGCAGTTAAAGGTGATTTTTTATATGTATATTTTATCTTATTCTTTTAGGGAAAGAGATAACATTTACAGTAAAAGGATCCTATGAAGAAACCCAGAGCATTTCACTTTGCTGTGACTCCTGTTCCCCTCTTCCAGATCCCACGTTCTTCCACTATGCCAAATACAAACAACCCTCGCTGGATGTTGCATTCATGAAGAAGAGGAGATTTCCAAGCTTTGTACGTTACCCCAGAACATGACAGACAATAGAATCATAGAATCATAGAATGGTTAAGGTTGGAAGGGACCTCCAGAGATCATCTAGTCCAACTCTCCTGAACATTGAGGGTCACCTAGAGCACGTGCCACAGGGCTGCGTCTAAGTGGCTTTTGAAGATTTGCAGAGAAGGAGACTCCACAGCCTCTCTGGGCAGCCTGTTCCAGGGCTCTATCACCCTCACTGTTGAGAAATGTTTCCTTAAGTTCCTGTGGAACTTTTGGTGCCTCAGCTTGTGGCAATTTCCTCTAGTCCTATCACTGCCCACCACTGAAAAGAGGCCGGCCCCATCCTCCTCACTGCCTCCCTTGAGGTATTTATAGACACTGATCAGGTCCCCTCTCAGCCTTCTCTTCTCCAGGCTGAACAGGCCCAGCTCTCTCAGCCTTTGCTCATAGGGCAGATGTTCCAGGCCCCTGATCATCCTGGTAGCCCTGCGCTGGACTCTCTCCAGCAGCTCCACATCCCTCTTGTACTGGGGAGCCGACAGCCTCCCCAATAGAGACAGTCATATAAACCAATATTTATTTGTGAGTAAGCAGCAAGAAGGAATATTTCTGCCTTAAAGAACTCCGTGCTCATTTTCAGTGTGCTTGCATGACATGTGGAGCAAGGAAGAACAGAAGTGTCCAGCTGTCCCTTCCGCTGAAGTCCCTCCCCTCTGAGCAGGAAGCAGTTGGTGAGGTAAGTGCCCATGGGCAAGAGGAATGAAAGTCCACCTCTTGCTACAAAACTGGTTATTCTCCTACCTCCCTCAAATGTAATAAATGGCCAATGTAATAAATTCTTTAGAGCAAAATAAAAAGGGGAATCCTAGGTGGGGACCAAGAAAGGTTGAGATGCCACTCATGGACACTTGAAGTTGCATTGGAAGATACGTTGTGAGATACTAGGTCCTGGATCAATGTAGGTAGATCTTTCCAGTGAGATGCATCACTGCAAATCTTATTTATCTGTGCATTAGCTAAGCAGTACTAGAACATAAGTTGTTCCACATCTGAGTTTTATAATAGAAAGAAGATGCAGGTTATTGAGGATACTTTAAGCCTTAATCTGTTAAATCAGTGCATGCCTTCAGGTATTAATGAAGTGTTGAGAGAATTGCTTATCTCCCAAAATCATTTTACTGAGATTTAGAGCTTTGTAGATGCACTAATGACCAAAGAAGCTATACCTTATTCTGACTGGGGAAGGAGGACTGCGTTAAAAAATCAATATACATTATTTTACCTTTCTGATTTCTTTTTTCTTTTCTTTTTTTTTTTTTTAGCACAGAAAATTTGACTTGCACTTAAAGGTGAAAAACTGGTAAGATATCCTGTTTCTCTTCCTTAAGTGTTTTTCCCCCTGGAAAAGAGTGATCATGTCTTCCATTTAATCTGCTCCAGCAGTTCAGCTAATCTAAATGGCTAGAAAGGCTGAATTAGGCTCTCCTTCCCTCTGACACTTAACCATACTCCTCTTGCAGTCTTCACATGTTCTTCTGAAGGGTCAGAAGGCTGCACTATGCAGCACAGATACTTTTAGAGCCTGTGATTTTTATGCAATGGGACTACACAGTGATTTAAGAAAAGGATACAGAAAGAACATGCTAATTTTCTACTCATATTTTGATCTAACTAAAACTTGCACTAAGTTGGCTATGTAGGTATGCCTTTGGTAGCTCTACTAGCCTTTGTCAAATACAGACCTGCAGTAAAGGCAGCATTTGAAAACTGAGAGAAAGCATAAACTGACTCAAAGAAAGCATGAACATACATTTTTTACTTTTTATGCGTTCTCTTTTCCCTTCAAAGCTCCCCTCATAGGTCACATGATGTTCTGTAGAACATCATAGAAGTATTTAAAATAGTATTTTTAATTCTGGGATCTAATGACTTAAAATTTTGCTGCATCATTGTTATGTTAATTTTCCCTATCTTTGCTATGAAGAGACATAGTTTTTTTCTGTCACTTAAAATCTCTCCCTTACCACATCTGTGCAAGATTTTCATAGGAACTTCCAAACTGCAACTGCAGTGCTTATAAATATTCATAAATGACCATGCACCTGAAGAGAAATGTGGGTGGAAGTTTGGAGCTTTGAAGGTGCACTCAAAAGCCAACTTTAAAAAGTTGCCCTCTGCAGCCTTCTGGCTTAATGACTAAAAGGGAAAAATTCTGTTATTGGTGGCTATATTAAATTGTATTTTCAATAAGAGAAATACCCTCATCCTCAGTTCAAAGGAAGAGATACTGTAGTAGCTCTGTAGCAACAGAGGGAAAAAAAAAAAAAACCAGTTTAACTTTTTTCCTGTATTACTTTATATAGATGTGAAGGTGAAGGTATGTCTATTTATGAAGTGGAAACATTTTAATTACTGAATTAGGCTATAAAAATAAACTTTTTTTCCTGTGTTCCAGCCCAGAAGACCTAGATGTGCGTCTGGGGTTTGACCTGTGTGCCGAGGAGCAGGATTTCATCTGTAAGAGGAAGAAGGTGGTGGCAGCTGCTCTGAAGGATGTCCTTCATCTAAAAGAGGACTTGCAGGAGGATGAGGTATCTGAGACAGCATTATTCTCCATTTTCTCCACAGTGCTTTGCCAACTGGGCGTCAAACTGTGGTGTTTGTGCTCACTCTGCAGCTTTTCACAGGGATTAAGAAGTTTGATGTGCAAACTATGGACTCTCCCCTCCCCCCCCATTCAAGGGAAGAAATGAGTGGTGATATCAGGGAATATCTTTAAAAAGCTGCAGTCTTGTACCTGCTGGATCACACTCTGCACTGAGAAGCAAGCTGCACAGCAGTGCAAAGATGGGCTTCTTTTTTTAGGATTAATGCTAAGCCAGCTCAAACATATTGATTCAGTAGTTCTTTCTTCCCTTGAATACTGGACTTCCTTTTGCTTGTATTTTGTGCTGATATTTAGGGCTTCTACTGTGTGAGCAGAGCATGCTTCCAGTCACACTGAACCATCATTCAAACACAGAGTGGGCAACTTACTTGGACCCTCTCTCATTGTTTCCATTTGTCAAGGCAGGGAAAAAAAATCAGCCTCTGTTTATTTTGTTTTCTTTTTAATAATTCCACCAAGGCTGCAGTGTAAAGCCTGAACTCAGAAGCAAAGATATACCAGCTTTTCCTCCTTTCCCCATAAACTGTGCTCAGCAGTTTTTGGACAGCTAAACCTTTCCCACACAGGACTTTGCTTTTAAATGTCAGCACTGAGCCATGGGCAGTTTCCTTCCCCTCTGTTTTAGAGGCACCAATGCTTCCGTGCAGAAGCGGTTTCCTAGAGTCTCCTGACTCTTTGCATGAGAGGTGAGCACACCATGCATTGGTGTCTGGTGTCTGGTAGCTGTTACCTCAGCCAACACGTTTTCATGGATGAATCCCTTTTCTAAGACTACCAGACCCTGTAGTTCTTTAGCATCCCAGAAAGAAGTAATGACTGCTCACTTGTGCTTCCAATATGGTATAAATACATATCAGGGGGAGAGAATGTGGCTCCTGTTTGCCCCCCAGCAGCTGTGAATGGTGGTAACATCATCAACTTTTAGTCCTAGAGAGTCTGAATTGGTCAGTGCTCCCTTAGACCCATTAGTCATGATCCATCTGAATATGACTTGTGAAGTAAATGCAATACAGTAGAAATCATAGGAATCATATTCACCAAACTTTAGTAACTGACAAATTATTGTTATTTATATAGACTGTATGAAGCATCACCTAAATTTCCTGGTCATGTTGAAGTTCAGATGCAAGGAGATACCATTTACTCATCTGTGTTATTGGTTTGCAGAATAAACAGAGTACTGAAAATATGATGTCTGAGATGGCACATTTCACCCTCCTAATGCACTGCTGTTTAGCAGAATGAAACATGAAGTTTTTCTTATTCCTGCTATGCCTCATGTTTAATTCATGTCTCATTTCTACTTGCAAACTGATGGCACACTTTATTGATTTATCAATGCTATTCTGCTGCCTCTCTTCTAATCACAGACATCTCTTTCCCTTCCCACACCACTTCATTAAATGTGTGTCTTTGGGGATTGCACAGGTGCCTGTGGTGGCAATCATGACCACAGGTGGTGGAACCAGAGCTCTTACAGCCATGTATTCTCACCTTCGAAGCATTCAGAAACTGAATGTCTTGGACTGTGTCTCGTACATCACCGGTTTATCTGGCACAACATGGTAAGGCCAAGATAAGTAAAGCTTTCTTAGGCGTATTCTATAAATGATGCCATAGAAATGACGAAAGAAGTTATAACATCTTTATAGTAGTAAGCTGTTATATGAAGCATTAAGTATTTAGCAGTTATTAATTGCAAGATCAGAAGCCATCGTTGTTCACAGCTTTTTTAGACAGTACTATGATGAAAAGACTCTGTTCTTCTGCCATGACATTTACTTGTTTTCTTCAGCTGGTATTTGTCAGCATTTGGAATCAATTAAATCCTGATTAAATACGTGAATGGCATCACAAACACAAGTGCTTTTCATGTAGACTGAAGAGGGAACAAGTGGTGGGCACAAGAGGATTCTACTGCCCATTTAAATGTCCCAGTTCTAGAGCAAGAGGTAGATGATACAGAGAGAAAGATTTTGTGAGTTTGTTGCAGGGCCTGCACTCTAAACTAAACACACCTCATCTTGGAGCTTTCTATAATTAGATAATTTCAACTTGGTCTCAGCTCAATCTCAAATCAATGCATGATGCAAAAACCTCTGTAATGTCAAGTGTCTCACCAGTGCTCTTGCTGGGAATTTAAAATTTTCCTTATTTTTTCCTTTTTTTTTTTTTTTTTTCTTTAAGGACCATGTCAAGTTTGTATGAAGATCCTGACTGGTCCCACAAAGATCTAGAGGAAATACTCACAGATGTCCGAAAGCAGGTGCTCAAAAATAAGTTTCTCACTTGCTTTGCTCCACATCGTCTGAAATACTATTTAAAAGAGTTGTACCAGAGAAAGCAGGATGGATACCGGGTATGTTTCACAGATCTGTGGGGACTCATCATTGAAGCAATGTTACATGATGAGGTACAGTAGATTTTTTTTCCCATATTTGCGTATTTAGTGGGTAGACATTAGACATATCTATAAGGATAGATAGCAAATGTCTAAAGCGGGTGCCTCCAGAAATAGGAACTGCCCCCACCTCATGCAGCACCACGCAGAGCCCTCGGGGATGGTTTGGCCAGGAGGTGCCCACCGGACCCAGCACACCTGCAATAAGCAGTGTGGCCCAGGCGGCACAGCCGTCCCTGCCGGGGCTGCTCCAACAAGGTGGGAGCACCTGCAGCTCTCCCAAGGTCTCCCCTTGCAGGAGGTGCTGCAGTCACCCCTGCCAAGCCCCAGCCTCCCTCCCAAGCTCTCCTGCCCTTTCTACTGGTGCTGAATATGCAAGATGCTCTGCAGCAAAGCAATGAGGGGCAAACTGTGCTGGATGATAACTCTGTCTGAGCTGTGGCTCCACCACAATGCTGAGGAAAAGAGGATTTCCTGGGCTATTAGGAGCAGGGGCTATTCATACTGAGTGAAGCATCTCATGCCAAGAATGTTTTCCAAGTGTTTCCTGACATTTTTCTGAAATAAACAATATGAATAACAACATTTTCTTCCTACCAGTTAATCTCACGTTTTATTTCAGCCTAAGAATTGAACTTAAAGAGTACCCAAGTCACGAGGACAGCTTGTGTGCTAGAGTGCGGGGGTAGGGGACAATTGTCATCTAACTCTGCTCATCTACTGTCCTTGTTCAAAACAGGAAGACACCCATAAGCTCTCAGATCAGCAGCAGGCACTAAAGCAGGGACAGAATCCCCTGCCCATCTACCTCTCTCTCAATGTTAAGGACAAAGTCAGCAACCAGGATTTCAGAGGTAATAATAACACTCCAGGACTGTGTTTAACTTCTACCCCAACAAGGTTCTGTTTAAGATTAGGCAAATAAATATATTCAATGCAAAAAATCTTCTAAAGGACTAATGCACCTAAGAGTAGATTTCTGAGTTAAATTTTCTATTTCCAGAAGATGTATGATGGATTAAAAGAAGGATGAAGGAGGATGTTATCATGAAACTACTATTTCAACATTTACATAGAAAGTTTCAAAAGTCTAAACTCAGTAGACACATCTAGATATAAGGAAACAATTCACTTTTAATTCTTATTACTGTGAAACGTACAGTGAATAAATGCCTGTTTGCAAACTATATCCATATCCAAACTATAGTCCAGAAACTAGCTTGCCCAAACTTAGCTGATATCATGTTTTATTCAACTGATTTTAATCTTTTTTTCTAGAATGGGTGGAATTCACTCCATATGAGGTAGGATTACTAAAATACGGAGCTTTCATTCGTGCTGAAGATTTTGGTAGTGAGTTCTTCATGGGTCGCCTGATGAAGAAAATACCGGAATCCAGAATCTGCTTCTTGGAAGGTAATTTGTTACTCCAGGAAAATGTAATGTAATATAAAATAATATGATCCATTCTCTAGCAAAACTGTTTTCTGAAATGAAGTAGATAGTATATTTTCATCTTCCACAAAAAATCAGCACTTTGAAATTTCTCTATGAATTAATTCAGCTGAACAGACTTACTTGATTTTATATTCAATTGCCCTTTCAATATGAATATATCATTTTGCCAGCCACAGAATTTTTGTACCATCAAACTTCATTTAAATTATCAGTCCTTTTTGCAATCAAGGTCTCTAGAAAATAGCCTTTTATCTATTATTTGCCTGTGTGGAGATTGTGCTACAGCCAGTGGTGAGATGTAAGGAAGCAGTTTGACATTAGAAACTCCCTGGATGCAAACATCCCTAGATGCAATGCCAATCCATACTCAGATCTCTTCAGTGGTCAAACACTCGGCCTCATCCAACAGCTCTCTCCTTGACAATCTTCCTCACTGCTATAGGATGACTGCAAGACACATGCATGTTCCCTGAGGATGATCCAGAGCCTTATCAGTCAAAACATGTTACCTACTTTAGTGACACAGTTATTTCAAGGGCTTTCAGGAATTCAGCATGCGACTTTATGCCACTGCCCCTAGAGTATAGTGGAGACTGACTACATGGCTGTGATGGTCTTTCCTAGTCTGTTCTTATTGATCAGGTTGGTATTGAGTATCCAGGTAATCTAAAAGCTGCCCAGGTGCAGTCTTTTCTGCTCATTACTCCACTTCTTCCAAGATGTCCCATTGAATTCCAGAGCTTGGAAAGATCAGTAATACCTGGTTACACACAAGATACCCCTGGCAGGATCAGGTAATGGTGTTTTCTTAACTGAAACATTGCTGGTATGTGGCAGACTTGGACTGTCTTTAAGTTCACAACACCTATTGCTACAGAGAAGAACTTGAGACTAATCCAGATATGCTCTAAATCTTCAAAAATCGGAACATAAATCAAAAGACATATACATTTGTGTTTTCCATTTTCAGTTTTCTTAAGCCAGACCCCTTCTTCAGAAGGAGATCTGCAAATTAATGTTGAATATTTGTAGTTGGCAATCCTGTGCTATGACTGCATATGTGTAACAGGATTATGTCCGAAAGAAATAAAACCTCTGGCATCACAAACACTGGAAATTTAGGGAAAAGGAAATATTGAAGACAAGTAAATTATGCTAAGACACACTTGGTAAAACATTCTTTGTCATCCAACAAAATCGAATGTTTTGGAAATCCCTACTGCAATCCCTATTCACGTAGGTCAGTGGGTTTTTTTAGCATATATTATGGATTCATATCCTGATTCAAAAAGACCCTCTCTTTTATTTTCCCACTAAATTCAATGAATAAAGTTTCCTGGGGGATGTAGGAGGTGATAGGGAATGCTTCCAGATCTTTACTGTATTACTTTCTGACAAATGTACCTTATGTCACAGGGATCTGGAGCAGCGTATTTTCCTTAAATCTTATGGATGCTTGGTTTTTATCTGTTCATTCAGAAGACTTCTGGCATAGATGGACCAGAGACAAAATTATTGACATAGGTGAGTTGTTATTATACTGTAATGCTATTTTTTCCTCTCCTTTCCTTCTTCTTTTTGCTGCTGTTCTCTCACTGAATTTTTCAAAGCCATTTGGGAATTCCTTATTTGAGGTTGTGCCCACACAGAAACCAAGAGGAAATTCATGCTAGATTATGTTACAATATGGCAATCATTTTTAGCTATATGAGGAAAAGAATCAATAGGAGAGGAATAAGAGAGAACAGCCCTCGTATGAGCTGCTTTCAGTTTGTGAGGACAGGACAGGACAAACACACAATAAATATTTATTACAGAGGAAAAAAAAATATGAGAAGGAAGAGTGGGGGTTATGTTCTTGCACATGTAGGGGATGGTTTTGATATCTGAAACAAGATGTCACTTGCTGGAAAATGGATTTGGAGTACAGATGCGTTTTTCTATTCGTTACTGAGAGATAATGAATAATATAAAGAAGCAAAGGAAGACAGGATAACTGAAGGATATTAGAATGGATAAAATCATAGAAAAGCAAATAAAATCAGAGTAGATGAGGTGGACTGATTTATAGCACAGGAAAAATATCACTGCTAGGGATTGAGAAGAAGAAATGAATTTCTTAAAGCTCAGTTGAAAAAAAAAAGATTTCTGGAGATTTTGGAAATAAAAGGAGAATGATGCCAAAGTTTTCTCAAACAATAAAACAAATTATGTTTGTACAGAATGATCTCAACAATGAAACTGCATGAAAGAACTTATTCTTTTTTATTTTTTTTTTTCCAGAAGATGAATCCCCGTTCCCTATAAGGCCAAATGAACTAGATACTCGGCTGGTTTCTCCCCCTGACAGCTTCTCAAACATTTTCCGAGACGTGGTCATGTTACGTCCAGCAGCTTCAGAAATCCACAATTTCCTAAAGGGCTTGCAGATGAATGCCAACTACCTGGAGAGCGAGTTTGCTAAATGGAAAGGTATAGTAAGGACACCCCGCTTTTAATTGTATTTTAGATTATTCTTCTAAAAAGGAAACAAAGATTAAGGAATTAAGGTGACTGCCTATTAGTAATACTACAAGCATTTTTTTTGTATTGAGTACCTCCCCTCAAAAAAAATGCTTCTTTTCTAGACTGTGAGCTTGACTCCCAACCCAACCACCTGACAGGAGCAACAGATTCCCTCATTCTGATTGACACTGCATTTGCCTTTGAAACCAGTTACCCACCCCTTATGAGACCTGAAAGGAAAGTGGATCTGGTTTTGCATTTCAACTACAGTTCAGGTTCACAAACAAGGGTGAGACTTGTACATTATTCTTTAATGATATCCTAGTTTTATCATTTTGTTACCAGAATGGTCAATCGCCTAGTTACAGACACCTTTTTTTTTCCCAATATTTGGATGGGGTAAACCACCTGACCGTTTACCAGGATCATTTATTTTTATTGATCAGTACAAGTATTATTAGTAAGTCAATATTTAGTAAACTGAATCTGCCCTTTTTTTTTTGACTATACATATATGAAAGAAATGAAATGAATATGAAAGAAATGAAATAATTGTCTTAATGCTAAGTTTAAATAAAAAATAGTGTTTATATGTGGGCTTTCTTTTTTGACTTTTGGTTTATTTTGTTTTTGGCATTTGAGTGTAGAATGAACAAAGCTGTATGCATCTAAAAACTACATATAACTTCTCCATCAAAAGTTCCCTTCCCACATTCTCACAGACCAAAAAGTGTATATTCAGAGCAATGTAATGGTAACAATTCGAGGGTTTGATGCAGGAGGTGATATGAACAAATACAAGCAGAGTTGCATTTAGGAACTTGATATTCCTTAGGAATAAAAAGTCATCTAAAGGCAGCATTTTTAATATCCAAATGTGGGGTGTAAATTTTCATGAAGATGTAGGTCAATCCAGATCTCTCCTGTTTAACTCTAGATGCTTGGGATGCGTAGGTGAGAAGCGTAGCTGTCCTGTTCTTCCTATAGCCAATAGACTGCTCCAGAAGGTATTCAGAGCTCTAGGCTGGAAGGATATGAAAGTCACTGTATGTTTCTTGATTTTTTTGTCTGTGTGCAACTATGCCTTGGAGATGTGTCATTGACCATAAAGTCACATTTTGGATGGGGAAGGGCATAAAGAGCTGTACTGCAGTCTGGCCCTCCAGATTTTGGTTCCCGATACAGTCTATGAAGAAGTGTTGTTAAAATAACTTAAGTCGAGCATGTGCCATAATCTGTCAGAATTTGGCCCTTAGTCCACAAACATTCCCAGTGAAATTGTTGACACAAACTCAAAATCTCTTCAGTATGTTCTGATGTTCTGTTTTGTTTCCCTACTATGGCAAAGCAGCCTCTGAGAGACGCCTCTAAATACTTTGCAGAACAAGGAATTCCTTTCCCTAAAAAGGTGCCGGATGAACAGGAAACAACAAACCTGAAGGAATGCTACATCCTTGGTGACAAGGAAAGCCCAGAAACACCTATTGTGGTATTTTTCCCTCTAGTAAATGACACTTTCAGGGAATACAAAGCACCTGGTAAGTTTACTGCAAACCATCACTTCTTTCACTTTGTTGCAGTATCTACTGTTCAGATCCTCCAGTAAACACTCAGGGATTCAAAGTATCAGATATGCCTAGATCTGGATTGTATCAGGGATTGTACAATAGCGGATGTTCTTGGACAATACAGCCGCAGCTGGGATGAGCCTTGCACACGCATGCCACCCCACAGAGTTTTTCAGGGTTTTCATAGGTGGATTATAGAGTCTGCAGATGAAAAACATACCCTGTCTGCAGTGCTAAAAAATGAGCAGGGTTAGCACGTCATTTGCTTTCATACTTCCCATTCCTTCCTGTCAGAGAATGCTCTTGGGAACATTTCATTGTTTACAGTCATTTCCAGGCTTAAAGTTAGGCAGATAACCTTGAAAACAAAAGTGTGAACTAGTAAACTGATGAAAATATAATGCTGATAACACGGGGACAGTTTCTGTTCACTCCAGTGTGTCCTAGGGTTTGGAATCAAGAGTTTAAATAGTAACATTGTCAGTCACTTCAAAATAGATGAATTTTAACACATATTTTCTCTTAATCTTCTCTCTCAACTCAATATTACTTCTCCCACTGCCAAGAGTCTTAGTTGTTTCTTCTTCAGATTATAAAATCATAAATTCGCACTATGGAAATACTTTTTTAAAAATCACTTCAGTAATTAAAAAGGATACTGAAAACCAAAAATCCTATGCTATATAATACATTAAATTTAATAACAACACAAAGGTCCTTATTGTATTTTTTTAAAGCGATCATTAAAAAACACACCGTATTTTTACTTTGTAGATATTCTGGATTGAATTCCCTGTTTATTTGAGGGGTAGAACTGGGACTTTTAGGTTTTGCGTCTGGTTTCTACAGTCAAGTTAATTAAAACAAGTTAATTGATTTTGTCTTCAGGTTATAAGATACTACGGATCTAATATTTCCAGAGATTACATTTCTGGAACTATCTACCTAATTGTTTTGCTTGGGGCTGTTATATATGTTGACAGGGATGATGACACGTGCATAGAAAGGTCCTTCTTCTATTCTGCCATGTCTCAATATTTCAGGCAATATTAGATTGCTGAGGTTTCATAAAGCTTGTAGGTTTCTTTATAGCAATAGTTATCTGTTATGGTGCCCAAAACAATCTGTACCCTCACCTCCATCAACTGAACATGTTTGACAAATGTGCAGACTCTAATCACATTATGCTAATCAACCCCATCATTTTTTGTCCCTTAGGTGTGAAACGTAGTCCCTCGGAGATGGCAGAGGGAGATGTTGATGTTGCCAATAGCTGTGGTCCATATTATATAAACAATCTGAGTTACTCGGAGGAAAATTTCGACAAACTGGTGAAACTAAGTGACTACAATGTCCAGAATAACAAAGACTTGATTCTTCAGGCCTTGCGCATTGTAGTGGAGAGGAAAAAGCGGAATAAGAAATAGTCACCACCGCAAACATCATGCAGTGCTGATGGCATGTGTGTTTCCCCAGCCAAAAGGGATCTCAGCATTCTGCAGACTGTTCAGCGTGAGGGAGAACAGAATAAAATATCTGAGCCCTGTTCTGAGTCATTAAGCAACTTGATTAGAGAACAATGAAATGCCAAAGGATGCTAAGAGGAGGACTGCTTGGCACCAAAAGTTCTACAGCCTGTCTGTCAGTGAAGGGAATGAGCACAAAAAGCAGAGCTCTTCCCTAATGAATTAATGTGCTTCCCTCATTGAAAGAAAACCTCAGGAGTGTAGCTCTTACTTGGAGAAGCGACCTACCAGACCAAGGCTGAAATATGTGGACAAGGAAACATGAGGAAGTTGATGTTGACAGTGTTTGTGCTTTACCTGCCCTATAAAAAGAGGAGATTTTAAATACAGAAGTGCTTTCATTCCAAAGCATCGACAAGAAGCCAATTTGTCAACTAACATGTCTTTATGTGAATGTAAATAAAAAATAAACTTTATATAATCAAAATAACTTTCTGGTATCTGAGATATAGCAAATAAGTGTGGTGGATTTTTTTTTTTTTTTTTTTTTTGTAAGAAGTAATAAATGTTACAGAAGTTTATTTTAGAATATATTTTTTCTCCTTGTAGAGAAAGAAAAGACAACATGATTTCAAACTGATTTCACAGCTGCTGAAAAAATACCAAAGAAGAAATGACACTTGCTCCAGAACTAGATGCAAACCACTCAGGATCCTGGGACAGATGGAGTTTCAGTTTTCATTTAAAGCTCATCTCTCCCGGAACTGACTCACATTAATTTATTTAACGTATTTAAATTTGATTTAAATGTTACTGGTACCTACTGAAAGCTTGAGACTCTAAAGCTTTTGAAAGTACTACATTGAAAAATCCATATACACATGCATTAGGCAAAGTAGATCTAAAATTACATTTCTAATACCACTCACCCAGATTACAGTATCTCCCTCTTTTTCTTTTTTTTTTTTTTTTTAAACTTGCTATAGCTACTCCAGCTAAAGTGAATAGAAGATTAACTTTCAAATTGGCGACGTTTTGGTGGTCATGCTAACATGGCTCCTTTCAGGTAAGCATTCCATTTTCCTGATGGAGATATTGCAGGTTTAGCAGCAGTTGGATAACTACCTGGAATCTCAGCTGAATTCTGCAAAATGCTGGACAGGGCCTGAGTAAATCCAAGTTCTCTCATAGAGTGAAAAGAGGCATGTTTCTGTAATTGAAATTAATGATCAAAATGAAACATAATCCTTTATAAATCTGTCTTCTATATTGTACAGAAATACACCTGACAGAAACAGAACAAAGAGAGAGAAAGGAAGAAACAGTTAATTTGGTTGTTGGGCAAAAATGATAAGGTATCTCTTATGGATAGACAAGAATGTGTTTCTTGTTTTCTAAGTTCAAACATGTTCTGTAGTCAAAGCTGAACGTAGTTTGAGCACTGTATTTGAGAAACAAAATCCCAAGCCTCCATATATATTTCCCTAGAAGTAGTTTAACTATTATTCTGTTTTCCTCTTTTTAAAAAACATATTTGAGGTCGTGTTTCTACAAGTCTGTGGCCCTTTGCTCTGTTTCCTAGAGGCTTCCCTGCTCTTCGATTCTACTACAGTATCTTTTGTAAAGGAAAACTAGATATTGCGGGCCTAAAATGGAAGCCTGACGAGTCCCGTTGCCCTCAAAACCCAGAATCTCCTAGTGGTTCCCAGTGACATAACTCTTGTGTTTACCTCTTAGGTCAGCTAATGCTGTAGAGGGGCATGCACAGCTCCTGCTTGGGCTATATGCCCTGGGGTTTGCCTCCTGTGGAAGCCAGAGTGCAGCGAAGGAGCTCATGCTGGTGCGTGCTGCATCTCACTGCAGTGTGGAACTGGATATTGCCAAAGGGCACAGTAAGCCCTGGGAATTTGGAAGCACTCCCAAGTTCCCATATAGTTATAGTTTTATTGTCTGAAGGGCAAAAATTATCTCACTGACAGCAGGAAGCATCTAGGCAGGAAGTCTGAAGACAAGCAGGGCTAGGTGTGTAAGTGCACACACTTCCCTTGCCTGCCGCCGCTTCCCAGGAGCCAGGACGGGTCACGGAGAACAATGAGTGTTTAGCTCAATTCTGAAGTGGAACTGCCGGAATAATTCAGTGTCTCAGAGTTCTCTACATTCAACAAGAATCTAGAAGAAAATGACAGTGATGATCAAAGGGGAATCATCTTCCACACAAGAGGTAAATAGAGAAAGAATATGCAACTAGAAAGAAGGCATCATGAAAGGATTTAGGGAGGGGCAAAGATGGAAAATCTGGCTGTGGTCTGAGGGAGAGAATGACTGTGCATCTTTCTTCTAACACCAAGATCATGAGGATAACGAACAGAAACATGTGTCAAGCGTCATAGTAAGAGAAGGGAATTGTCCACCCAGCAGGTAATTTGTGGACCTCTTTGCCACTGGATGTTGTCATTGCTAAGTTTATATGGGTTCAATAAAGGTAGGATAACTACATTTAACAAACATGGGGGTGTGAGGGAGAAGGCATAAAAAAAATAGGATGAACGTGAAACTGAACTTGAGCAAAGGGGATTTCAAAAAATGAGGAAGCAAGTCAACAAGACCCAACATGAAGTGACGTAAAATCTTTAGACTCAGCATGGAAATTGTAAAAAAAAACGTTGCAAAACACATGCGCTGCCCTAAATAAAATGTGAAGCAAGAAACCAAGAAAAGGCCGAGTGGTTGAATGCTGAGAGACTGAGCACTGCTAAAGCCGGACATCTACTCTGGAAGGAGCAGCGCAGGGAGGCAGTGACACGGAAAGGGCACATCCAAACCTGCCGATGTGTTTAGAAAAGAGGAGGAACAAATAGAGGAAAGGTAACATGCACAATGGAAACTGCGAGGAGGACTGTGAAAAAGAAATAGCTGAAAATCAGTAGACAGCTGAGTGTGTAGGCAGGCTGGACCAGCTAAATGCAATTACAATGATGGGAATACTGCAAAGAAGCCAAAGACTTTATGCGTTTCACAAGAAAGATGTTTTCCTGCCACCATGTTTATGCAGAGATTTAGTAAAATTCCCACTTTTTATTTAATGTAAGCCCAAGTCCCTACTCAAGAGAGCACAAACAGAGCTTTCATGTCAGAAAAATATTTATTCATTTTACTCATGCCTTTGATCTATCAGTGGGTTTTTGTTTTCCTTCTCCATTAAAATCTGAGGTGAAACTAACAGAAAAGATGATTACTGAGGTGCAAGAGTGCAGGCTAAAACCGAGGTCTGTAGGTGCTGCACAAGCCCCTCAGCAAAACGGTGATGTGTGATGTCGTAGCGAGAACAATCACTGAAAGGAGAGAACAAGGTGGGTAAAGGTTAGGGTTCACCTCCTGCGCTCTGCCATGCAGAGGAAAAATAAATAAAATAAAAATAAAACTAAAATAAAAATAAAATAAAATAAAATAAAAGGCCGGGGATTCGCCCAAGCCCGCCCCGCATTAAAGCCGGCGGGGAGGACGGAGCCGCCGGGCTACCGCGGCCGCCCGCCCTCAGGCGCCGCCGCCATTAGGCGCTGCGGGCGGCGCCGCCGCCCCGGCGCGCAGGGAGGGAAGGAGGGAGGGCGGGTGGAGACGGCGCCGGCGGCGCCTCCCCTGCGTGCGCAGGGCGGAGCGGAGCGGCGGGCACAGCAGCCCGGCGGGTGGCGGCGGCGGCGGCGGCATGTTCAGCTGGCTGGGGAAGCAGGGCGGCGGGCGGGAGCGCGGCGGCGGCGGCAGCGACGTGGTGCAGACGGTGACGGGCGGCCTGCGGGAGCTCTACCTGCGCAAGCTGCTGCCGCTGGAGGAGCACTACCGCTTCCATGACTTCCACTCGCCCGCCCTCGAGGAGGCCGACTTCGAGAACAAGCCCATGGTGCTGCTCGTGGGGCAGTACAGCACCGGCAAGACCACCTTCATCCGGTAGGCGGCGGCGCCCCGGGGGGCGACATCTTAGCGCCTCCTCGCCGCGGGGGTCCCCCCGCCGCGCCCGCGGGCGGGTGGCCGGCGGCCGTTAACGGTCGCGGGTGGGCGGGCTGCCGTTATGGCGGGGCCGCGCAGGTGCCCTCCGCGTTGCGGGGCTGCAGACCCCGCCGCCTCCTGCCTGCCGGCTTCACCCTCCTGCGTTATTTCGAAGGAAAGAGTCACTTCAAGTTACCGCGTCGTGGCTGCATCAGTCATCGCGCGTTGGTTAACCGTTTCCTTCCCGTTTTTTTCCGCCCCAAAGTAGCTTAGACTGTTTTCTTTAGCTAAGTGCTGCCTGCGATGAGAGGGGGATGAGGTGGCTTCGTTATTAGGAGACTGTGAATGTCTGGCATGTGCTCGTTGTGTCATTTGGCTCTTAAATGCTTCTTAGAAATCTCCCAGGAATATGATTTAAAACTTTTCAAAGGATGCCCAGAGGTCCGTTGGATCAAACTTTGCCTCCTCCTTACATCTGAAGTTTGTCAGAGCCTTTCTTGGAGAAGAAGAAAAAAAACTTTAAAAGTCTTTCACTTTTAGTTTCAAAGCTTAGTGGCACTCCTACAGGAACTCAGTTGTTCATTTTATTGTGCAGAAGACCAACCTGTCTCCTGCACGGAAGAACAGTGTTTACCTTTGCTCACCTGAGCAGTTCTCAGATGTTTACCGAGCCAGTCATGTTTCTTTTCCTGTTTCACCACTCTTTAATTGGAAGCCTAAAGCAGAACTTGGTTCTTTACAGGCTGTTACTGAATCCCCACAAACACTTGTGTACAGTGTAAAAATAGAAACAGGGATATAATTAAGAGAAACTTAGTTTCAGGATCCCCAAAAGCTGTTGTCAGAAAGTGGGTGGGCAGGAGTAACTTGGGTTTCCCCTAGCATTTGTTTAGGGCTTGCTGATTGATTTACTGGTGTTCATGTTAAAACTGCTTTGTAGGCCTGAGTATAATTGCAGATAGATGTTGTTCTTGGCTAATGGAAAAAGTAAGGTGGATAACTTTGAGACAGAATGGTTCAGATTGACTTAGCAGAACCTGTCCAGCCTGTCAGCTGAGTTGCTGTGTGATTTGCGACTCATAGGTGACTTTTTTTAAAATTCCTCCAGTTGCTGTGGGAGGATGTCTTAGATAAGAACACATGTTCTTGATTTATAGACATTCACGTTGTCTGCCCTCTGTAGCTGCCTGTATTGAAGTTTAAATCAACAGCAGGCTTAGAAACACTGATACTCCTTGTAGAACTTTATTTTGATACTGCTGCTTGGTAAGTAACCAGTTACTGCTTTAAACAAGTCCTGTAAAATGCAGAGCAATATTGTTCATTGATATTAATGTACAGTCTGGGTTAGAAAGGAAATATCATATATTGCAATTATTTCCAGCCTTTTATCTGGAAATAATTTAGTTTTCCAAGGAAATGAGGCTTCAATGGTCAAGACATCTTGACAAATTTTGAACCCACTGTGTACTAAATTTGAAAGGTCTCAAAGGTATTGTCTTAAGAGCTTTATAAAAGTATTTGACTGAGTAGAGGAAGAGTATTCTGCTGTTGTCTTCCTCCGTTTTCTCCTCCTATCATAGGTAGGTTGTGGTGTGGTTTAATCCGATATTAGATATCAAAGAAGTCAGAAAGGAATTCACCCTTGAGATACAATCTGTAATAAAATGGCTGTTATTGCTTCTACAGAACCACAGTCCGACCTCACCATTAACACTGTTGCTGAGGAAACCAGATAAATGTTCATTACATCTGCGTTCATTATAGAATAGATTAAAAACCATCAGTATCAGAATGAAAACACATTGCGTCAAAACAGAGATAGCTTATGAGTAATATAAAAGTTACACTGCATTGACTGACATTCAAAAGGCAGAGAGGAAAAAAAGCAAAAAAAAAAGTGAGAAGCAAAATTCTGCTAGTATATTCTGCTTGCAAGACTTGTGAAAGAAGAAATGAGAAATTATTATAATGTCCAGGCTAATTACATAAAAATTCTCTCTAATAAGGTGATTTTTCAAGGTAAAAGGTAAAAAAGTGCTATCTTACTCTCTAAAGAGAGTGTTTCAAATCAATTTCTTATAGATAATAATTCTTAGATTTAAGTTAGGTGGGATCTTTTTTCCCCCCCTTCTTTTTTTTTTTTTCTTCCCCGACAGCCTTTCAACAGGCAAACATTACTTAAAATATTAATTAAAACTACTTTCTGTTCCCCAGTTCTACATTTCATAGTCAACTTATGGAGAACTGCATCTTGCATAGAAGACACGAGATCATACACTTCAGTGGGGGTAGGGTTTGATTTCTGAGAGTATAAAAATTAGTTTAATCTAGATGAATGATTCCTCAGAAGGTATGCTTAGGTGTTTGCTACCTTGGTGGCAAATGGAATTAAAGTGCCACAGTAGTGCTTACTATTATATTTATATATAAATATAAAATTTTATTATCTGATAAATAGTCATTTTGGACTTTTTTTGTGCTTTTTTATTAAAACAGGATAATTTGATGTAGAAATTACCATGAGGACTGTACATTTTTAGAATGCTTGAAGCATACACATTTGCTCAATTTCTTCTACCGAATTTATTTTCATGGAAAACATAGATCTAGTAATGATCAAATGGACTTAAATGTTAAGATTCAAGAAAAAAATCTAGCTTTCTAGATTTCTACTTCTTAAGGTTTCTGCCTTCACAAGAACAATAAAGTGAAACTAGACAATTTCAGAGAAACTGTCTCAGAGAAAGGTGCAGTGTGACAGTATCATGAAGTCTGCGATGGTGCTGATAGTTTAAACAAATACATCCAGGCCCAAATAGGGATGTTTGCCTTTTGTCTGTTTGTTTTTATTGGGGTGGGAGGACCAGTGTGACAGAACCTTCATCCTGCCCCTACACTGCTTGACAACATACCTGCGGTGTTTCTGCCATCCCCTGTTTGTCATGACTGCCCTAGGGGAAGAAGGGGGAAAAGGAGGAACAGAAAAGAATGATAGTATGTGAAGTATGTGAAGCTGAGATGGAAGCTGTTCTGTGCTATATCATGGCCTGTAGTCACCAATCTCCTCCTTTCTAGTGATTAATTGAACTTCTAGTCTGTTATAGTTATGCATTTAATATGTTAGTAACTGTTCAAACTTTTTTAAGTGTAAGAGACTACTTTTTAAATTAAAAAAAAAAAAGATGAGGAAAAATCACACTCAACACATTATTAGGCTGTGCTTTTCATTTCGTCAGAAGTTATTCAGAGGTTAAAATAATAGACTCCCATTTAACTGAGACAGAGATGAATTTTGTAAAAGCACTGTATCATATACGTAATAATGGGAGTTTGCAAGAGAATGGCAATTGATTGTGTGGGCTGAATGGGCTGCATCTTTTTTGGGGGGAGAAAAAAATCCTAGTTTCTTAAGGGTTCTAGAGTTTAACTTTCTCATCAATGCCACATGCCTGTGTCTCCGTGCACCAGAACAGTTACTCATGTGTCCCTGTCCAGTGCTGCTTAGTCTGGCAAGGCTGTGTTGGAGCGTTCCTGTGGCCCAGCTGAAGTGATGAGACCTCTGATGGTTATCGGCATCAGGAGCTCTGGGGAATCTTGGCTGGCTCTGCTACTTCTGTATAAGTTTTCCGTAGTTTGGCTACAAATCTTGCAAAGGGAAATAGAAGGATGTTTACTAGCCAAGGAGGTAGGTTATAGCCCAGGTAAAAACAAAGGGAGAAGAGCAAGTGCCTTGAGTCAACAGGATGTCTGTTGTTTGATCTAGACTGTCTTTGGGACATATGCTATTTTTAAGTATTCTTCCTGTGAACCTTTTTGAACTCCCCCTCTGCTGAAAATTCCTGAGAAGGCCACAGGTCACGGATGTTAAAAATTCAGGTATTTTCCTATCTTAATGTAGCATACTGTACAAAAAGTTGAAGCATTTCTGTTTATGGAAGCCTGGCCTACCCTTTTGTGCAACTAAGTAGAGCTGTTATTTTCATGTTGAAAGGAAGTGCGATAGCTTATAGCCAGCACTGAACATCTAAGGTTTATTTTAGGACTTAGTGATTCTTGATATGTGACTGTCAGACAATATCTTAATTGCTTTGTGCAGTGTGTTCCCTGCGTCTACTGAATATCTCAACCAGATCCTGTGCTGTGATGGTTATGTGGGACTCGGTATTTGGAAGGAGCTCTTACCAACCTGGATTGTTGTCATTATAAAAGCTTGTTCGTTGTGTTCAGTAGCACTGAATTCAGTAGCACTGACATTCAAGTCCAGTATTGGGCTGTGCAGATATTCTGAATTTGCACTCTTCTTGTTCTGGAGGCTGCTATCCTGCAGTCAGATTCCATGATGTAGTTCTGTGTGACTCGGGGTCTGAAACTTTTCTTATGCCCATCTGATTGGGTGCAATGTTGCTCGCTGCTGTTTTGGGAGCTTCTTGTCACTTGTGTCAGCACCTTATGAATTGCTTGCCTCCTGCCAGCAGGAGCCTGGCAATTATGATTCGCATCAAGAAAAGAACTTAGTTATGAATCCAATAGAGATTTCTCTCTAAGGGCAGTGAGAAAAAGCAGAAATGGGAGATTTTTAAAAAGATTAGTTTACCATGGCAAGTTGAAATCTTGGCAGTTAAAAGTATTATTGACTTTTCAACGTCAGTACTGCAGATAGACATTAAAAAAAGTCTTTATTACAAAAGAATTATTGCAAACTGTTTTTGGGGACTACAGTCTGTCATGGCATGCCATGAGAAGGTAGAGATACACTTTTCTTTTTCAGGAATTAAAGCATTTGAAAGTCTAATATTCTTGTGCATAAAGAGCTCAAGGTTTGAACTCTGACAGGATTTTGTTTTTCTTCACTGTGTTCTTTCATCTTTACTAATTATAAATTTAATGCATTGTATGCTCATGCAGGTGCAGAGAGTTTTGTTGTTGCTTTCCTTCTGGAGTTTGTTTTATTTATATGGTCCTTTGTGGTGGGCCCTTTGTGGGGTACAGGTTATTTTAGAAGCAGAACAAATTACTTCAACGTATTCTGTCCTGAAAGTTCTTACGTTCCTCCCTTCCAATAGTTTTTAGCAATATATATATGTGTGTGTGTGTGTATACATAAATTACTTGGAAGCAGAAAGTTGCAGTAAATCACAATTAGCTGTTCTGTGCTTTCAGCCTCTTTGATCATAGGCTCCATGTAAGAAAATTGAATTGTTATCTGCAACTTGAAGGAAAATTAGTGAGCTGTATGGAAACAGTTTAGTAAGGCTAGTAGAAAGAGATCTATACGGAAAGAAATCGGAAGCATAGATTTAGATACAGTAACTACTTCAGGTGTTTTGGCACTGAAGAGAGGAAGAGGAGAGGACAAACAGCATTCTTCAGCAAAAGACAGTTCTTATGAGCAAGTACAGATACTTTATGGCATATTTGCAGTTAAAGGAGTGGGAAAAGTGTAAAGTTATAACTCTAGAGCATATATGTCCTTGAGAATTTTCTAAAGAATTACAGATATTTATTTTTGTCATGAATCTCATTAATTTTGTCCCTTTACGTTTTTTCTAGGTACCTGCTTGAACAGGATTTTCCAGGAATGCGCATTGGTCCAGAGCCTACCACAGATTCTTTTATTGCTGTGATGTATGGAGATTCAGAAGGAAGTGTTCCTGGAAATGCCCTGGTTGTTGATCCTAAGAAGCCGTTCCGCAAACTCAGCCGTTTTGGAAATGCTTTTCTGAATAGGTGAGATCTTGCTTATTTGCTGTCTTTTGTTCATATTTTATTTAATAAAATCTTCAAGCATCAGTGCTTACTAAGTCATTTCTGCTGTACTCTTTTGAATAATATGAAATAAGGATATTGAAATACAAGTAAGAGTAGTGGTGGTTTGAGTAAGTTAAGAATTTATTGTGCTATGTAAGGTAGTACTAGCTTAGAGATAAGTGTGTTTTTAAGGGAAGTCTGGAATAAAGCATAGGTAAGGAATTGGGGTGTGTGTGTATTATATATTAAAGTACCAGAAGAGAATATCATCATTAAAAGTAGTTCACAGAAAACTGCTGAAACGCTTCACTAGTTGACTTGTTTCTAAGGCATTATACATTTGAAGCTTGACTTCAGTTTGGGCACAAATTTTTGCTTATTTAAACTAGTGGAATAGTATTATTTAAAAACTCCCATCTAAAATAGAGATCTATTCTCTTTTCTATCTCGCTTTCTATCAAAGCTCTTTTATTGCTTTATACTGTCTTCTATACTCCAGAGTTTTTGATGCAGTTCTTTAAAGTTGTGAATTGCTGAGATGTGTAAAAAGACCTACACGGAAAGATAATATTCGAATGTACTTTCTAAACAAACTGTTTAATCAAGCTGTGAGTGATTAATTTTGGAGCTGATCCCTTAGGAATCCGATAGACACAGGAGATGAGTTTTTGGTTTTGAGTTTTACATTTGTAAAAAGGGGGAAACTATTGAAGGGGCTGTGAACTTTGCAGTAGGTAACTCCTAGAAGAGAGTAAATATTTTCCACCCAAAGTCATTAATGACTTTTTTTCAGATGGTGTGAGCAATTGCCCTATTTTCTTCCTGTTTTTGATAGCAGTTGACATGGAGGCCTGTGTTTGGAAGACAATATAGTTAAATTGTTTCTCTCTTAACAATAAACTTTCCTGTTTGGCTGATAAACTCTGGCTTATGTGTTTAAAAAATCATCACAAGTCTTATCTCTTGCTGTGCATTTCACTGAAGAAAGTTTATAGCTGCTTATATTTGGCTTAGCTATCAGCCTGTTGAGAGATAAAAACATACACAGTGGGAAGCTGCAATTAAGCTGTATTTTAAATAATATTTCTGTGGTGTAACATCCCTTTCTGTAAAGTTATTAGCAGAATTCTGTTCTCCAGAACACTCTTCTGTTTCTAGGTCTCTCTATGTGCTATTTCTATGAGTGGGTAACATAATTTCACCCAAGTGTTTTTGTTTATGTCAGAAGTTCAGGTATCACTTTCCACCAGGCTATGGACACTCATGCTGCTTAGTCAAATGCTCTTTTCACCTGAAGGTAACATGAGAGAAAACAGTGCCTGAAAAAAAATAGGGAAATCTGCATGCAAGAATACAGTAACACAATCAAGACCTGTACTTAGTAAGTTAATGAGGCTAATTAGTGGTGTTACCTTGTCTTTTTTTCATTTCTGTCTCCTCTTGCCCAGTGCCCCACCACTTGTGAGACCTGGAAGGTCTTGGAATAAATTCCAAGACTCCTGAGTGTAGAAACTTGTCTTTTATATCTCTTGTGCCCTTTTGGGAAAAGTTTACTTGGGGGAACTACAGTGCCCTTTGATGTCAAATAAAGTAGATGTAGCTAAAGAAATTGGAGAATACGCATCCACTCATCTAGGTAGACCGTATGTAGCTTTGCTTTTTATGATAAAACACTCAAAACTGCATTTTATGCAGATCATGCAAGAAATGGTAGTTCAGAGCCCAATCTTGGTATCAAAAACAGATATTTAAATATGATGAGTATTACACTTTTCAGTTGTCTGAAATATGAGTTTTGACATAATATTTTCAATCTGTCATCTTTAAGCTATGGATTTATTCTAAAAACTGCCAATTAGTTCTAATTTGATTTTATGCTATTTTGTGTCATTTCTCTGAACTGTTGTCCTCCCTACATTAACAATGACTTCTATGAAGTCTGCCATGTTACATTTCTGCCTGTAGCTCTCTGCTTTCTTGGATAACCTTTCACAGCTGTCTCAGTTCAACTGATGGCTAAATCAAAATACTGCAGTATTGTTCAGCTGAAATAATCGTTCTATTCTCATAAAATATACTGAGAAACATTTCAGTGATGCCAAACAAGGGCTGGGTTTTCTAAATTAAAATGGAATTGTTTGAAGAAACCCAGTTAAAAAAGCTCAGTCTTTACAGCATTCCCAATTTATGATAGCTACTTCATGTTTTACATACTAGTGATTGTACATTACTGTAATGGTTGTCAGAATCAAATATACTTTCTTTGTTGCTTACCATATCATTATGCTTCCACAAAATGTGTCTGCTTTAATGTCTCCTGTATGTTTTGGATAGTTTAAAATGCCTTTTTTTTTTTTTTTTTTTTCCTCCTGACAGTGCTTCACTGCTCTTTCAAAACAATCTCATAAGCTGGTAAAAATAGCCAAAGTGGAAAAGTTTGCTTCAGAATATGCAATATTTAGTTTAAAAGAAAACAAAACCAAAAAAATTACAAAAGCCGTAAGGTCAAGATGACCACTGTTTCTTTTATTACTTGCTTTGTTTCAGGGAAAAGAGGAGCTGATGCTGTATTTTCTGTTGCATTGAAAAAGTGAATTCTGTGTGCTTATATTACTATGGTATCATTATTCCATGGTTACTTGAAAACCAACGTGAAGAATTTTTATTTCTTTCTGAATTCCTTTTAACTTATCTTCTGAAACTTCGCGTTTTCTGTTTATAACGACCTTCAGAATTATGATGGATCTTAGGTTTCATGTCTGATATTTGACTTCCTGACCTGTTCGTAACTCACGTTATTTTTGGTCTTCAGAAAGTGTTTGTCTGATACAAAATGATTTGTCTTATTTACACAATACATTAGTGTAATTTATTGTCAGTGATATCCTAGTTCTTCAGATTGTATTCCTTCTAAACCAATTAATACTTTGCATTCATCTTAGAATTTCAGTTTGCAACTATATCTAAATTTCTGAGGATGATAGCTTTTTGTTTTGATTCAAATGATTTGAGTCACTATAGTTTGCAAGCATACAGTATGGTTTTGAGCTGCTGCCCGATAAGAGTAAACTCTTATGCAAATTTCTTAATGGCAGTTTATGATGAATGCAGTTAAGTTTTTTAACCATTAATTATTCCCAAAACATCCCAATAGTATGGATTTTAGATACAAAGTGTTTTGATCTTGTAGTACACATAACTCTCAGATACTTTATAAATTAGTTATTTTTCATAACACCACCGTTTAATCATATCGTATAGATTAGAGGTTATTATTTGTAGCTTCTTATGTACTCTTAGTTATGAAAACTTTTGTCCTCTTTGTTGGAGAAACTAGTATTTCCAGTCCCAGTGGCCACTTTTTGAGCTGCTCTCTTCTTGTGTGAACTGCTTTTAACTTAGGGATAGTTGACAAACCTCGTATTTCACTAAGGACTTCAGAAATTATATTTTCAAAATGTTTTATATATATAATATATTTTTTATTTTATGTATGTGTTATATGCAGTATTTTATATATGAATATATTTTATAATATTATAATATATAAGTATAAAATATATACGTAAGTGTATATTTATATCTGTGTGTGTGTGTATATATAAAATATTTTATTCTTCTTAGGTCTGTCTAAAAGCAGATACATAAGGGAGACATTCAGTGTGAGCTAGAGATGTTAATGTGGGTTTTTCCTCTCTTTCCACAGGTTCATGTGCTCTCAATTACCCAACCAGGTTCTGAAGAGCATCAGTATCATTGACAGCCCTGGCATTCTCTCTGGAGAGAAACAGCGCATCAGCAGAGGTGAGTTGCAGGAGTTAACAGTAATCAATTTCACTAATTTTAAATCTTCTGTACTGAGAAAAACATTATTCTAATATATTGGGCATGTATTTTAGTGACGTAGACCATTGCAGTTTCTAAGACTTTCTTAACATAAGGTCCATTAAAAACATGTCTTAAAGATGAAGTAGTGTTTGCAGATTATTCCATTCAAAACTGACGCTGGTGATGTTGGAGCATCTTCTGCTAATATGGCTGCAATTAATCTTCAGATGGTTATACTTGCATGGGCTTTTGATTAATTAGTGATTCCTTTCTTCTGAGAGAAATCCTAATTTTCATCATTTTAGTTTCTTTCCACTAAGTAATAATAAATAAGCTGTTAGGCTTACTTCTCAAAATCATAAATGAAGGAATATTTGATAATAACTGTAAGTCTTCAAGCTGGTTATGTTTAAAAGTTCAGGAGTGTAGTCTATAAACAGCTTATAAATAAGCTGTTCTTACTGTAGCCACTGTTGCTAGTGTTGCTTATAACATCGCTCAGTAATGTCATAACATAACTTTCACTCATAGGACAAAGAGTTAAGGTAGCAGGAAAAAGTAGTAGTAGGACCTGGGAGGGCCAGGAGACTGGGGAAATACTGTGAGATTCCCTTTCCTTTTGAGTTTTCCACTCTGCTCATGCAGTATGGTTGCAACTGAGTTGAACCTACGGCTGCTCTTTGTTTCAAGTGGCTTATCTGTGTGGTATTTTTTGGTGTTTCATATGTTGTGAATAATGCTATTTTTTTAAATAATATTAAAATTCTGCCAAAAAAAAGAAAAGAGGTTATGTTTTAAGTAAGTGTTCATGAAATTAGCCTGTCCTTAAGAAACTGTTAAAGCAGCATCATGCAAGTCATTTTTGCCCAGCTTTTTCAGTTGTTTTAAGTGCAGGTCAGAGGATTTGACAGTTTGAGTCACAAAAGGTAGCCATCTACTCTATAACATACTTGCTGCTCTCTGTTTCTTTTACTTAGGGAACACAAAAGTGTGTGTTCCGTGACTGTGGGAAGGGAAAGAATGACTTCTTTAACCTGTACCACATCTGGGATTTCCTGAGGAAGTCCTGGAATGAGCTCAATGTATGGCAGTTGTGCAACTGCAGTCTTTGGTTTGCATTGCACTGACAGAATAAGAAACTAGCTTTTCTGAATAATACTGGTTGAACGTAGTAAAAATAACAACGCGGAGCTATTAGCATGGCCAGTTTTTGATTTTTTTTGGTTGATTTTTCAGACTGTAGCCGAGGCTGTGTTTAACTTGCTTGATAAAATGGTCTATTAAATGATTCAGAATTCTCCTTTTTTTAATTAGTGTCTGAAGGTCTGTCTTGTTCATTGTTCATGTAGTCAGGTAAAACGTTCATGGTGGAAAGAATGATACATTTTCCTACACGTGCTAAATTCGTTGACTGGCAGAGGTGAGCAGTGTAAAGTGCTCTATGTTTGTGTAAGCAAAGGCTTCAGTGTTGCTAAACCAAATGAGCAAAACAAATGCTGCAACTCAACATGTGCAGTTTTAAACAGAAATGATCAGCATATAACAAATATTCATAAATTGTTTCTTGATGGCCTGTGCCTTATTTGTATTTATGGCCTAGTTGTTCCTGCCCTTTCGTATGGTAAATTTTCACCAAAGATGACAGTGCACAGTCACAGCTATATGCTGTTTAGCCTTAACCTTGAATCATAAATGAGGTTTGGGGAGCCAGCTAGGGCACTGTAGTCTTTGCTCCAGGTTTGCAAGGCAACTGCTACCAAGGTTTACGGTTTTGTATAGTTAGACATGAGCATGCACTGAGCAACTGCAATTGAGTGCAAGAATTACTGCATGTTCTTTCAGTTGATAATACTGTGCTCACCCTTATGTTTTTTAATTTTTGTATAGTCAGATACACTTCCTGTATTGACTTCCTGACTGCTTCTACAGTTCCAGTACAGATAGTCTTGTGAAGTACAAATTTGACTTGTCCCGTGCTGCTGCACATTGCAAGGCCTATCTAAATTACTTCCTGAAGGATTTGGACAGACAGCAACATATTTATGCTTCAACTATAGTACATTTTGAACTCCACACAGTTTAAATTCCTCTCTAAGTCATTCAGCGTGCAAGTATAAGCATAAAAAAAAAAAAAAAAAAAAACCAAAAAAAAAACCTTACACTTTCAAACTAGCAAAGATGTTTTCCTGCAAAATTTGTGGTATTATCCCTTACACTCACTGGTTGCTTTTTACTGAAGTTGAATGATGGAGTGTGTGGTTCTCTGGAACTGCTATTTCCCTTCCATTTAAGTCCTGATAGATTTAAGTGTAGGGACTCTTTTTATTACCTAGGAAAACTCTAGATATACCTGATGATTCCTTAGTAGAAATTTTCTAACCATTTGAAAACTTCATATTTCAACAGCTTGAGCAATTTTTACATTCCATTAGCTCACCTGAAAGTTTATAAAACTTATTTTCTGCTTTTCTAAGATTTCCTTTTCTTATGAAAATTGGTTCTATTTTTTAAAGAATATGTCTAAGAAGATGGGATTTTCACAACACTGTAATGTATGTGACATTAAATAATACCTGATAAGTATTTAGATGCTTTCTGCTTTTTGTGCTGTTAGTTTTTGTTCCTCTGTTTTCTTCTAGAGGAGGAGATTTGGTAGTTTCTGGCAATGGTGAGCGCTGGTGTGCTACCTACTGTTTGATTCATAATTTAATGTCAGACTGTCCTCTATGCCGGCTCTTGATGTTTTACGGTAAATGTCAATGAATGAGCATGGGAAGGGAAGGAAACTCCCCTGTCTCACGATCATCTCCCTGAGATATAAATGGTAACTGAAACGCAAAGGCAAGGGTTTCGAGAAGTATGGGGAAAGAACGCAGAGGAAAACACAGAATGTTAGCTTGTGTTTTGACATTATTTAAGTACAGGTAACTTCCTGACTTCAGTTTGGTTTGTGAAATGTAGTTGTGGGCTAAATCAGGTAATACATGTAGTGAATGTTGTGCCTAGCTTCCCTGTGTGATGTGGTGCAGTGTTTTCCCTTTAGGATAGGGCTGCCGAGAGAACAGTAAGAGAGTTATCCAGGAGTGCTGCATTGAGGCTGGCTTTCATTAGCCTTACTGGAAACTTTTCCCCTAGGGTAGGAGTGTTAGCAAAAAATTGCATCTTTGTGGGACTGAATTGCGTTTGAAAGACTGAGCTAGCTTGGATGCATGCCTGTGGCCAAACCATGAGAAGAACAACAGATTTCTGTAGGAAAAAGGCTGTTCTCATCCAGGTCCAGATTGCGTTACCAGCCTGGATGGTACCGATGACTGTGATCACTCTAATGCTCTGTCTTCCCTGGCCTGATCCGGAAACTAGGAACTGTTCTCCGGGTGTGGAGGCAACTTGTCAAGGACGTGTCCTCTGGGAGGAGCCTCTGTTATTGCTCCACCTGGGAAGCACAGGACACTGTGTCCCTCCGCTCTCGGTGCATGAATGGAGCCTGTCACGTTCCCTGGTTGTTTTCCAAATTGAAAAAGCTTTAGTGGGCAAGATGGAAAGCTGGAAAGTATTTACTTTAGAACTCAAGGGAAAGTATACTGTTTGTTTACATGTTTATTAGTAACTGTCACATAAAATTGCTCTCTACCTGTACTGCATAGATTGCATGGCTCTATCTGTGCGTATGACCATGGCTGTCCTGCATAGGGCTGCAACTCTGTGCCAGAGGAAAGCAGACCATCGTCCCTGTCCGCTGCGTTGGCAGAGCTGGAAACTGCACAGCCGCTCTCAGGCTGTCATCTCTTCCATGCTGTTTCATTCTCCCCTCCCCAGTAGCCCCCGTGCTCTGCCTGTCACTGACACTCGCTAGGCAAGTGCCTCCGTGCTGGCAGGGCTCCCTGCCTTCCTCCCCTGCCCGGGACAAGCGCCCCAGCCTGGGACCGCTTGTGGACCACTTGTGCCCCCCCGCCCCGTCAAGAGGCACTTGCAAGTGGATGCTGTAACAGACAATAGGGACAACTGTAGAGCTGGCAATGGGACACCGCTGGCTGAAATATTTAAGCACATATCACTTGCCTGTGCTTCAGGTATTCTCCTGGGCCTGACCACTGAACCTGTGGAGAAAATAGGTTCACTTCTGATGTCAAGTTTTCATTAAAATGAATGATTTTTTAAAAAAATATTTTTAAGCTATGTTTTTTCATAATGATTTCAACAAACTGGATGTTTCTCTTAAAGGAGATGCTTTATTAATATTAAATTCATATTCAAGGTGAATTTAGTAACAAATTTGTTAAATAGGTATAAACACTAACATATGTATTTACATATAAGGATTTTTATAAACAAATTTCCTTTTACATAAACCAAGTTCAGAACAAAATGCAACATTCATATAGTTTTCAAATTGTACTGTCCAGAGAAGTGACATAAGAGATTTCATTTTTCCCTTTCTTTTCTGCTGTGTTTTTACATGGGCAAATTGGAATTAATCATACTGGTTTAAAATGTTAGTGTAAAGTCAGATGAATTCTGTTTGCTTTGTACAGCTGTTCTCCTTGCCCCCACTTCCTTCCATCACTTGTTTGGTTCTTTTGAAATGATTCACAAAGAGGGGCGAGGCGGCGAAACTGGAGAGGGTGAGAAAGAGTGGAAAGAAACAGCAGCATTATCTGGGAAGGGACTGGATTTTGCATTCATTGCAAAGTAATCCTTTTAATGAGAAATGCTATGTTGGCTACAAAAAGCGTCTTTTTTTTTTTAAAAATAGCTTACTGATAAATCTGATCTGCATCCTAATAACAGCTTTCTTGCATAGTCTCCTCTTGATTTGGCATGACTGCACTGAATGTTTAATGAAGTTTTGCGGATCTTTGGTGGGTTTTCTTGGATACTTTGGGGACATTTTGTTACTACTGATTAGAATTGTGGATTTAGTTTCATGTGCTATTTGTCATTTTTAAACAAAGGATTTGAGGCTTATTTGTGAGTAGTTTAAGTGGATTTTCTTTGGAGATGTGGTGGGAAAGGTGTCTAAAAGTCTATGTTATGCTGTTATTCCTGGGAAATGATTATTGTGACAAGTATGTCAGTGACAACTGACTTTTTTTGTTGTCAGCACTGAAACACATGTTACTGGAGGGCAAATCTATAGATGCTGTTTTTACTTTTCACCAGTCTTTACTTTTTTGTTTTTAATTTATTTTTTTTTAACATTTATGGGCCTTACAGAGGGAGAAGAAGAGTGGAATATCGGCTCCCAGCTCACATATTCCTATTCTTTACTTGAGCAAGATGAGTCATTTATATGCTAAGCCCAGCACCACATCATTGGTCGTGATTTTCTGTGGATTAAGTGTGTCATTCTGAAGGATTTCCTGCGTATTGTTTGTTGTGTAGATTAGGCTACCAGGTTACCACTTGGATTTGTAAAGCATTCAGACAGATGCTACAAATAGGCTTTTCTTTAGAGCATCAGAAAGAGCCTGTTTTAAGTAATCAGAGAGGTCACTTGTCTGCTCCATGGCACTGTAACCTGCCACAACCTCAGAATTATCCAGAGTGCAGTTTGCTTGGAAATTGAATTTGCATTTACTGTGGCAGAGATACTGCAGTGCAAAGAAGTAAGAAAATGAAGTGGTTTAAAAATGTAGATATTATTTTCTGGTTGTTGATTTCAGCTGGTGTGCTGCCCCTTCATGGCTTTGCTAGTTAGTACAGATTCACAGCGACACTGAGGTGGGTCCGCATTAACAGCGAGAAAGAGAGTTTGTGCTGCAAAGCCTCACAAAGCTGCTTATCTTGGGCTCAGTGCTGTAGTCACAAGTTCAGGGAAGGCTGTGAGACAGTAACCCTCAGCATGCAGAAGACAGTGATATAGGTGATGAATGGCAGGACTGAGGAAAAGGAAGGAGAGTGATAAAAATAATAAGTGATAATAAGCAACACTTGTCTAAGAAAATAGTGTGTACAGTTCTCCAGAAAACATTGTCTGCTGACCTTTTCCCTCAGATGCTCCATCCTTCCCATGCCCCAGATAAATACTATAATTTCCTTGTTTTCTACCCCCCAGCCGTACTTTTTTTGAAACTCACTGCTTTAACTGGTAGAATTATAATCGTGTTTTGTTTTGTTTTGTTTTTTCCACTGGTATTTCTTTATTCAGGTTATGACTTCTGTCAAGTTCTCCAGTGGTTTGCTGAAAGGGTTGATCGTATCATCCTGCTTTTTGATGCCCATAAGCTGGATATATCTGATGAATTTTCAGAGGCTATTAAGTCATTCCGGGGCCAGGACGACAAGATTCGAGTGGTGCTCAATAAGGCTGACCAAGTAGACACGCAGCAGCTGATGAGAGTCTATGGTGCACTCATGTGGTCCCTGGGAAAGGTGATCAACACTCCAGAGGTGCTGCGAGTCTACATTGGCTCCTTCTGGGCCCATCCCCTGCAAAACACAGAGAATCGAAGACTCTTCGAGGCAGAGGCGCAGGATCTTTTCAAGGACATCCAGAGTCTCCCGCAAAAAGCTGCTGTGCGGAAACTCAATGATCTCATAAAGCGAGCAAGACTTGCAAAGGTAAGGAAAGCTGAAGCCACTTGCATGAGCAATCTTTTCCATCCTTTCAGTTGAACGGTAGTAGGGTGCTTCCCTAACTTTTAGAGAAGGAATTTGATGCTTTTGTGGCTGCTAAACTATTGTTTTTTTAACGACAGTGGGTATGTACAGAGCTTAAAAAAGAGAGTGTCAGGAGAAAAAAAAACCTATTCAACAAGACCAAAAAAAAAAAAGGTTGAGTGAACTACCTTTCCAGCCTTCCATCTGATCACTTATATTCTTAATTCATTAGAGCACACTTTGAAACCATTAAAGCAAACTGTCAGCTGGTTTCTGTGGAAAAATATTTTGACTAAATACATGTAGCACCCTGTTAACTAAGTAGTTAACTCTTAGTGAAAGCCGGATAGGTAGGTATTACGAGAAGTGTTTCTGTGTTTGTTTTTTATTTAGAGGTAATTTCAACTTTTTCTCAGGTTATATCTCTTTCATCTCCAGTCCCAGAGCGCAGAGCCTTAATATCACTTAGGCAATATGGATATTGTATTGTATCTGGAAAAAATCCATGTCTCATTGTCGCAAGCATGAGTTTTATGTCCCTGCTGTAGCTTGCCCACATCACGACTTTCTTCTTGTTTGCAGCTCAGGAAGGGTTCTTGCCTTGTGTGCCATTTACAGTCCTAAGCCAAGGTGTGCAGGCAGTCTCTACAGCTGGCTATTGAAAGTTGAAGTTCTTCAATCATCAAATTTTTATACTTCTTTATAAAGGCTCCTGATTACATTTTAAGCAGGGATTCTGAAGATTAGTTTAACAACATCAGCTTCAGACGTCCTTTCTTGTCACAACTCAACTAGAACAAGTTTTGGTTGCTGTCTAAAGTGTTTCTTTACCTCTTTCTCTAATTCTGTAGCTAACAGTAGATCTGCAGAGAAGTACTGCCAAGCTGCCTGTTAAAAAAAAAAAAAAAAAAAAAAAAAAAAAAAAAATTGATGATGCAAGAATTACAATTTATAATTGGAAAATGGGAGAGAAGGAAAAACAACTTCAGAATGATGCCATTTTCTTTTTAGACTGAGCTTTAAGGAAACCAATAATAATTGCTTTTGAAAATGCAGTTTGATATCATTTTCCTAATATTACTGTGGTAAATATTAAACTTATTGCCGTAATCTCAGTCTGTTTTGCAGACGTTGGTAGCTTTGTTTTTTTTCATTCACTGCAATCATTTTGAAAGTTGAAGAATGGCAGAGGTTTCGAGGTACTTTACTTGATGCAAAACTAAAATGGTAAAGGTGAATATAAAATATAATGTTCATAGAACGTGCTGATAAAATAGCTACAGAACAGTGATGAACTGTGTATCTGCAAGATAATCTTTCCCATGTCTTCTTTCCACCTTCTGCACTGAATTTAAAGTACGTATGTCCAGAAATCTCTTTTAGTGTTTCTCAGTATTTACTTATTTGTCCAATTTCTATATGACTATGTTTGTTCTTCTTTAAACGCATACAGGAACCCAAAATAAAGCAAACTAGCTATTCGCTTGCTGTCAAATTAGGGTTTTAGCCTTTTTTTCTTATTATTTTCAACTCGCATGACTTTCCCATTTTGAAGATAGCAACTCCTCTTATCTTTAAGAAACATATGTGACTATTTGCCAATCTTAAATGACTAAGCATGCACATGCAAAACTGTTGGTGTTTGGGAGCTATAAACATACTTTGTCTTTTCTAGACGTATTATTTAAAATGTAAGTTTCATTAACATTACTTCAAATTACTGATAAACTGTTAGAAATGCTTCTTGAATTATTTGTCTGCCTTGTGGTTAAATATTTTTTCCATAATTAGTGGTTTTGTGGAGTGTTTTTAAGGGTCTTACGTAGGAAGGCTTTTTCATTGCAGAAATTAAATGTATTGAAATGCATACACTCCTTTTTAGATAAGAGGAAATGGTGTGGAATGCACACACATATACATGTGTATATATAAAATAATAATTTAGATTTGCCCAGCTGTAGTGTTAAGTCTTCATCGTAATGCCTACTTAGCTGTCTTGAGAATACTGAGTCATTCGCTTCTAAGGTTCTTGAGATGAGCAGAGCTAAACATTGCAGAACTATTTCTGGAGCATGAAGTACTTTCCCTACCTATCTGTGGAGACTGCCAGCATCTCCCTTTCTGTTCCCAAGTTAAGGACGTCAGTGCACCCCTTCCTTACCATCATGGTACAGGCATCTCTGATTTTGGTACGTGATTTCCAAAAGTGTCTTGCAGGCGCTAGGAATGCTCACTGACTTTCTCAACAACTATGATAAATGCAAGATGTTACATTTTTTTCTGTTTGAAGGCAGCAATGTTCCATTTATATAAAAGGTGCTCTCCTTGCCTTACAGTGATTTTCTGTAATAGCTGTGTTGTGTGGCCCAAATTTCAATGTTAAATAAAGATATTATTGCACAGGGTAGTCTGAATAAAATATAAAGTTTGTGAATACTTTCTGCTGCGAAGTCTGGCATACTTATGGATCTCAGGTGTGCATAGGAATTTAAAGGATGAACCAGAGAGATCAAAGCTGGAAGTTTGTATCTTAAAAAATACAGAGAAAAGTTTGCTCTACTATTTTACTTAAAAGTAACGAGTGTAAAGAGTGGTTTTTCTTTTTCTTTTTTCAGTAGGTCTTTAAGTAAGTTAGGAAAGGAATGTGAATGCAGTTTGACTGCAGTATGTGTGTGCACACGCACACAGCTGCAAGATCTGTGCAAGGTCTGTGCACAAGATTTATGTACAATGCTTGTGCAAATTTCATGCACAATACCATGAAGCAAGTTCTGTGGTGGTTCAGGAGGTGTGAAGTATTGTACTCAGCACCTTATCTGCATAATTTCAGTTTCTTTTCTGTGGCTGCTTTTTTTTTTTTGTTGGAGTTTCTCTTTCCCCATCCCTTCCAGTTTCAAATACTTAAACTATGCTTAAATAGTTCTTAAATTCTAGTTGACAAGAAAAAGGGGAACTTCTGCTTTGGAAACAGCTACTTTTTATATATTTTTTTATATATATATAAATAAAAAAATATATATATCTTTATTGATGAAGAAAGGCCTGAATTCTTTAAACATTTGGCTTCTTAGCTTCTTGCTAGGATAAATCTTAAAGACATTTAGTACTTCACGTTGTCATAAACTGGAATTGCTTCTAAAAGAAGTAAGCCTCTGTGTCCCCTTTCCTGTGCAGCATGAGTTTCTGCATCTGCACAAAGAGCTGCCCAAGTGGCTCCTGTGGTAGTTCACACAAGCAAGAGTAGCACACACATTTTAGATTCTTGACCGGGTTGCTCTGTGGCCCTGCAGGTCTTGTTGGTCTGAGAGGGTAGAACAGTGATAAGGGGAAGAGATGAGTGACTGAGAGGTGAGAATAGGAAAGAGGTGCAGGACAGGATAGATCAGATCTGCATCTCTGACAGTGCTGGACTAACTTGTTTACGGCATGTGGATTACTCAAAGATCTATGGAAATATTGGTGTGTTTTAGGGCTTGACACACTTAAACTAATGTCTTTCCTTATATGCTGCAATGACTCTGCTTTTCTCCTTCAGGCTTCACAAGGCAGCCAGGACATGCTCTTATTACAGCCTGCTAAGTGCTCTGTCATCATTTGGGGGTTGCATAAATATAGACTCTATGTTTCTAGGAGTGAGTAGGAAGACAGTGTCACTGAAGTTAAGTAGCCCTGTCACTTAACATACTTGAATTACTTGAGCCAAAATCTCATTCTTTCCTGCAATAACATGTTGTAGTAAGGCAGGTGGGATTACAAATCTCAGTCACCAAGATGAGTGCTCCAGCTTGAGCTGGTTTGGGGGCCCTAGATTTCATATTCACTGCTGGTACCGATACAGTATTTTACCAGTAGATTTTTCAAGTGTCCATCTATAAAGTATTTGTGATTTCTTTCAGTAGAGATAAAGGAAAGCTGCAAGCTGCAAAAACTGTAATCATGAAGTCTAAACTGTTTGGTAAATACACATATCTCTGTGGCCCTTGCAGCATCCCTTTTTGGGCTGGTCAACCTTAGTTGTTTCACAAACAGTGGTAGATAACATGTTGTCCTTGAGCTGACTTACGGAACACATTCTTTTCCTTTTTGTGTCCTGGATGCTAAGTTTAGTTAAGCAATAGTGTTGATTTTGACTTTGCTTCTTCTTTAGGTCCACGCTTATATCATCAGCTACCTGAAAAAAGAAATGCCATCAGTATTTGGAAAAGAGAACAAGAAGAAGGAACTGATCAGCAGGTTACCAGAGATCTATACCCAACTGCAAAGGGAATACCATATCTCAGCAGGAGATTTCCCTGAGGTCCAGAAGATGCAGGTAAAACAACAGAGTATAGATCTGCTGAAATAACACTAACTTTCCAAGGAGATAGTCTTGGAGGCTTCAGCTAAATGGCAGAAGAGCAGCAGAACTCTCCTCTCTTAAGGAGTTAGCTTGACTCTTTAGAAGTAATGCAAAATGAAAGCAATTGATAATGTCCTTAGAGTGTAAATCCACTGTTACAAACCTGTAGGAAATGCTATAAGGAATTAAACCTTCTGCCTTTGTAGTCAATGTTTTGTATCGTAGGGTACGTAGTGCTGGATGTTTCAAAAGACTGTAATAGATGGCAGTGGATGCTTATGGGGTAAGGTGATACTTGATTCTTGTCCTAAATGTAGGTATTTTTCTCTCTTATAAAATGTTATCGGATATTTATGTAGGTAAAAATAGACGCTCATTATTCTTATTGATACTATGGGCCGCTGAGTCACAAAGCCAAAGTGTTATCTGGAAAGTGCAATTTAGAACTAACACTTTTGAAAATGTTGATGTTGCCTTTCCTTTTTTTCCGTGTCCTTTTGAGCCTGCATTCTGTGAAAAACAAAAATTTCTAACAACTTAATTTTCTAAAAACTTCTAACAATTCATATGTGGTGTATTCATGCCGGTGATCAGAAAGAGTAGTGACTTTTTTCATTAACAAAGATACAAAGATGCACAAGTTTCTGTTAAGATTTAAAGTATTAAATTTAGTTTTTTTTTTTTTTTTTTTTTTGCATGAGTCAGTCATAGATGAAACATAAGATGTGTTTTAGTTAGGTTTTCACAACAGCAAGATTTTTGAGGAAAAGTTTAATAAAGTTAGGTCTTAAGAAGGAACTTGTGTGAAAAAGCTGACCTGTCTTCTTGTATCATTTCTGTTGGTGCTAAGAACTAGGAGAATGGGAAGTGGTCATGTGTCCTTCTGAACATTGAAACAAAGTTTTTAATGGAACTTTATCAGAATACCAGTGTGTATCTCTAAGCCTTAGCAGCAGGTGGCAGCAGATACATAGATGTGTGTTCAGTTACTTCTGTGATGAGGAAGGAAATTGTGAGAAAACAGCAGGTTTGACCTTTGCTTTCTAAAACCTATTACATGTCATAAAGTTATACTGATCCATTGCAGTAAATCAGGTGACAGCGCATAAACTTTAGCTGAACAGAGAAGTTTTTGGTGCGTTTTTCTCCATGAGATATCCAAAGGGCGCTCGAGTGCCAGTCACTTCTGTGTACATTCACAAAGCAGTTTGTCTGTACTTCAGGTTGCTTGGGTTGGTATCATTGCATCTGGCATCAAAAGAGACCTGTACAGGTCACTGTCATTTGAAGCCCATTCCTTTACAACTTTTTCAGTATAATCAAGTTTTTCTAACTGTACTACCTTTGAAACCTTTTGTAGTTTTTTTGCTAATTTCTGCATTTGTTATTGACAGGAGCTGTTGGAGACTTGTGACTTCACTAAATTTCACTCCTTGAAACCAAAGCTAATTGAAGCTGTGGATAATATGCTGGCCAATAAAATAGCCTCCCTGATGAGCCTAATCAGACAGGAAGAGAGCAATATGCCCACTCAAATGGTGCATGGTGGGGCATTTGATGGCACCATGGCAGGACCCTTTGGCCACGGATATGGAGAAGGTGCCAAGGAAGGAGCTGATGAAGAGGAATGGGTGGTTGCCAAAGATAAACCTGCTTATGATGAGATTTTCTACACTCTGTCACCAATCAATGGGAAAATATCTGGGATCAGTGCAAAGAAGGAGATGGTGACTTCCAAACTACCTAACAGTGTCTTGGGGAAGATCTGGAAACTTGCTGACTGTGATGGTGATGGAATGTTGGATGATGAAGAATTTGCATTGGCAAAGCATCTCATCAAGATTAAACTGGATGGATATGAACTGCCTGGCACATTACCTCCCCATCTGGTGCCACCATCTCACAGGAAACCTCTGCAGACAGCAGAGTGAAAATTCTGGGGAGAAGAATGGGAATTTGGGATACCAAATGTGTTTAACCCACCAAAGTTGGAAATTAAGCTTAGATCCTTAAACACATTCCATGCGAGTTGCTGACATTAGAAGCAAAGTAGCAGGAAAACATTTGTGTAATAGTTCCTGCTGACCTTCACTGAGACATGCTTATGACAAGTGCCTTGTATAGATTTATCACAACATGCGATGTAAGGTGAAAAGGTTTTCATAGTTTTGCTTCCATGTCTTGTTGCCTTTACAGCCATAGAGCAAAAAAGATCACTTATAAAGTCACTGACCTTGGCCAAACCTAAATGCTTAGCAGCTACTCTCCAGACTGTTTTTAATAAGTGTAAGGAAGCTCTAAACACAAATTCACCTGCCTATGCAAGGAACATGTTTATTCTAAAAGCATACTCTAGGCGTTTGAGTGAATGTCAGCAATTGAATAGTTTAAGAAATGCCAGACCTACAAATAAATCTAAATCTAAAATTTTAGAGTTTTTTTCTTTTGTTTTTGTTTGTTTTGGGGGTAGAGAAAGAGAAGGAAGGGTCTTTTAAGAAGTATTCGAAATACATGTGCAGATTTGGGTTTAGACTTCAGTTAGGGTTAAAACTGCAAAATGTTAAAATGATTATTTAAATCTGCCATCGTTTTGTCATGTTATAATCTGAGGAACTATTTCATCTATATTGTACAGCACTAAGTATTCAGTTAAAAGAACTGAATCACCTTTCTTCCTTGAATTTTGTTTTTCTTTTCAGGTTAGCTGCTCTGCAGACCATGAATTCTGGAATTGTTCAAAGTGATAGCAGAGTCTTTTCCTATGTGTCTACTGATACAAAGCCTCACTTGCTCTTCCAATGGGGTGCACTGAGCACAGTCTCTGAAAATTGAGTTTTCTTGGAAATTTTTCATGAGTTAATTTCTAATTACAACTAATTATACAGGTATCTCTATGTATGTTACATGCATATATACACATACTGTAGTTACATTAGAAAATTTAACCCTTTCTATTAACAGCATGTAGCTGTCAAATACAGAAGAGTTGTTTCATTCCTGTAGTGGCAGATTTGAAGAATGGGGCAAGTAGTAGGAATCTTAGGTAAGTGGACCCTCCAGAGGTCATTCCTTTATAATAATCCAAGGAAGGAATGGGTATTTATAAAACTTTCTAACCCCACAGTGAAAAGGCTGAGCACAACAGCTGCTCAGAACTGATTTCAGCCAGTGTCCCAAGAGAAGGTAGATTTTTTGGGGAGTCTTTTCAGGAGAGTCAGTTCCTTTCTGAAGTCAAAACTAGTGGTCGATCTCGGCCTATGCATGTGAGCAACAATTGATTTGTACTCCATTTGAAATACAAGATACCATACATATCAAAGGTACTGTAATTTTGAGCACTTTTTCTCTGACTCTCAGTAAGTGGTGCCTTCTGGGACAGAGAAAGCCAAAAAGTGTGCTCTCATCCTTGCAGTTAAGGTGGAGAGGGAAGAATTTTGAAGTATTTTCTCTAAGATTTACATGTTTAGATTTGTAGGTGATGTAAGAGTCTAGCTTTTTCTTCAAATTATGTATCTGTATGTTATCAAGCTGGTTTCATACTTCAGATCTTTCCAGACCCCTTATTTTACTGTATCTTGTCTATTCCCATGTGAAATTATGAACTTTGCCAGGGCTCTGCCATGTAAAAACAATGAAGCTTTTTTAATGTTAGGAAGAACTCCTTTACATCGCCAGATTGTGGGCCTGAGCATAGCTGATTATTCTTCAAGACTTGTTTGTTTTTCATTATTATTCTTAGATTTTTTTTCACCTGTTACCCAAGTAGAGTAACTTTATTTCTTTTAGATCTAAGTTGGGAATCAAACCTGCCATAGTGCATCTCTGTGCACCTTAACAGAGTTTTGAAACTTAACCATAAGTCTACCTGTGTGACTGTATGTCTGCAGAGTAACTAATTCCTTATATAATTTATGTTAAGTATGCAAGATGTGTTTCTGACTGAAAAAAATACAGATATTAGGATGTTTAAAAACAGAAATGCACAAGCATTAATGTATACTCGCTCATGTGCGTAGTGCCTGCAGTCAGAGACAGACTCGTGCACTAATGACCAGCCTGACCAGTGTTGCAAGGAAGGCTGCTGGGAGACAGGGCAAGCTGGGGTATTGTAGCCGCTGTAGTGCAGCGAGAGGATCTGGGATGCCGCAGCCTGCCTTGCCTGGCCCTTCAGCTGGCCAGGAGTCCCAGGTGGATGCATGTTTGGAATTACCACTGTGCAGCTGCCAGCGGTGATGCTCTAAACACATTGGAGCTGCATGACCCTCTGCCAGCACAAACATCCTTCTAAAGTGAAGACAGAGAAGGATAGTTTTTCAGTGACTAATTTATTTTTCTAGCTGCATTGGTAGTAAAATGGAGAACACAGCCTTTTGCTCTTCTTCCTCCTCCCTCCACCCATGCCCCCAACTCCATTTTCAAACTTGGGGCTGGGGAGATAATTTTAAATGCATCATTTTGATAAGTTAAAACATTTTGTCTAGATATGTTTAACATATGTATGTTATTTTGTTTTGTTTATTTGTTTTCCTGTAAGACTTGAGGAGGGGAAGTAGAAGAGGAATGCGCAAAGCATACATAGGAGTAGAGATGGACTCTGTTCCTGTGAGGAAATACAGATGTTTCAAGACCAGCATACAAAGCTAAGTGAATAAATATATTTCTAGATATGTGATGCAGTACACTGGCATCGTAACAGAGCTCATACTTACTTGATAGTAGTTCAAGTACATTTCATGTAGTCTTCAAGCCATGGTTTCTTAGGCAGCTAAACAGGTCTAGCAGTTCATTGCTCAGAGGGGAAGGATCTCTTTCCTCATGACCTCCTCCCAAACCCTCTGGTCCTGCTCCATTCACTTCAGCTGTGTGGTTTGTAGGGTCTGTCTGCAAGCCAATACAGTTGGCTAAGCAAGCCACGCACAAGTTTGGATATTGTCCCGCTGAGTTAGCAAGTTAAATAAGATCATGGAGTAAGCTCAATGCTTTTGGACTAAGAGGAAGAGAGAAGAGATTTGCGTTCTCTCAGGAAATTGTGCTTTAAGCAGTTATTGAGATGAACAGTATGATGTAACAATTGTTGTTCACTTCAGTGTTGTTACTAATCTCTGCTCAGGAAAGACCAAGGTCTTGGGTTTTATGCCCAGGACTTTGGATTTGCTTCAAGAACATTCAAAACTGTCAAATTCATTCTATAAAATCAGTGCTGTGTGGTGATGTCCACTGCCTTAAGCCAGAATAACGACTGCTACTTTTCACCTCTTTCCCAGCTATTCTACAGCACAGTTTTTATTTCCCAACTCAAATTCTGTTCCCTCAAAAATTAATTGGACTTTTGTTACAGATTTGAGCAGAAGACACAGGGGTCTGGTTGATAACCACACTACAGGACAGTGAGAGGAGTTAAAGCTGTGACTATTTGAAAATGGTAAGTTTAGAAAGGTTTTTAGGTCAGGATAAGGTCCCAAATGTTGGAGTCGAGGATGTAGTGGATTTTTAGTGCTGGAAGCTTTTGTGGCATTTGGTCTCAAAGAAGCAGTATCTGACCCTTGACTTTCAATAGCTTAGTACATGTCCAGTACTTGAAATGCACCTTCTGTCTTCTTCCTTTTTGCTCCCTTCACAAGATGCACTCAATTTGGTGGCTCTTTTTATTCTTGGAATTCAAGCAGAGAATTTGAAGTGTATACTTAACTGGATGTTTGTAGCACTGAGAAAATTGACATAGACTTTGTTTTCTACTTCACATGCTCACTTTTTCTAATGCTTTTGTTAAACATTGCATTTTTCACTTCAGAGGCACTCTTTCATTTTTGAGGGAATGTTTCACCGTGCAGTGTTCTAGAGTTTGTCCAACTAAGCAGACAAAGTTGTAAGCTCATTACTGTTGCACTTTGATTACACAATAAATCCCATGCAGATACTGTAATATATTTTAATATGCTTTGTAATCATTTTTAGGAGGTGGTGATAAAAATTGCTGATTTAATAAACTAATATTAAACTACCTGAAACTTTCTTTTGTAAGCTTCTTTCTGAAAGACATCTTATGGGGACTAGAACTTTATAATTCTGCAACTTAAGGTTTATTTTGTAATTCTAAAATTTACAGTGTGTTTTTTTCATAATTTAACCAGTTTGGCAAGCTGCTTATTTTCCCACCTCAGTTTGTGTCCAAAATACCTGTGGCTGTTCCTGTTCTGTGTCCATGAACTCATTGTTGAAATTACTGCCCATAACAATGCTTCACTGCAGAATCTAAATTTATGTTAAATATACATACATATAACTTGCTTTTTATAGCAAAAACAAATTCTGAGGCTTCCAATACAAAACCAAGAGTGAAAGATAAATCGGATTTCCTGTGCTGATCAAAAGTCTGAAACTTGAACTATGAGAGAATTCAGTGAAAGTATTAATCTTGAAAAAATAACAGTAGATTAAATGGCAATTTAGCTGAAAGTTCTTTATTAATGTTTGCCCTAAAAATTCAAGGGCATCTTGAACACTGTATATATGCTACTTATAAATAGCTAATGAAGTCAATAGAGCATTCATTTTAATGTGCTTAATTCTTCCTTCCTCCTCTCTTCCCCCTACACAAATACAGCAGTTTCTTTGAAGCAGCTCCATCTCTGCAGGATGCTGGAGAAGTTGCCTAATACTCCCGCAGTTCTCAAATGTAACCTGCTGCCAAGTTAAAAGACTTTGTGTATAGCAGTGAGTGTCAGCAAGGCGTGCCGTTTTGCCTTTGGTCATCATGAATTGTTACATGAAACAGATTTAGATACATCTATGCTACAGAGACCCTGGATGGTGTTTATCTCTTGCCAGATGCTGCATTTTGCATGCACTGTCAAACTTCCACATGTAATTATCACTTCTCTTGAATTCATTTTAACCTAGGAACTGTTGAAATACAGGTCTAATGCTTACTGATTTCCTATGTCCGTTCACTATGTTCTTTAAGATGCATTAATTCCGTGTTTAATCTGAAAGTAAGAAATCAACCAATAATAAATCTGGTAAGTTTGGGACTTGGGCAATTTTGGCATACAAAGAACAAGAATTACAACTAGTCTTTACTTTGCCTTATCCTGTTGTGTTTTATTCTATCTTATCCTCTCTGATAAAGTTTGCCATCCTAAAAGTGTCTTTTTTTGCCACCTACCTTCCATTATTCCATTGCTCTCACAATGGATGGGTCCCTGCAGTGCCTCTCTCCAGTACAGTTGTAAGTCTTACAAATTTATGTCCTTGATATTTGTCTATTGATAAATAGAACTAAATGCTTTATCAGTGCAACAAATAAAATAACCCCCCTGAAACACAGTTGTACAGGAGAAAGAATTTTTACCTTTCACAATAAAATGGTATTTCTTACTACAAATGAATTAAAGTAAAAAGTCTAAATAATAACAAAAAATACACTAATTGG